CATCTTTAAGAACATCTAGGCCATCCCTCACAATCAGAGTAAGGATATGGGCAGAGCACCTCATATGGAGAAGTGTCCCATCCCTAATCAAATTAGATAGGACCAGCCTTTGTTTAACTAGATTGATCATGGAATCATTGGTAGTACAATTGTCAAGAGTAATTGTCGACAATGTACTATCAATGTTCCATGATTGGAGGCATTTAACGAGCTTTTCAGCCAACCTCTCACTAGTGTGGGGGGCAGGGAGATAACCAAACATAATCAGATGGTTCCTAAGAATCCAAGAATTGTCTACGTAATGGGCAGTGACAGCCATGTAAGCCATTTTTTGGTTTGTTGCAGTCCACAGATCAGTGGTAACAGCTATTCTCCCTCTGTTTTGATCCATGACCCTTTGAATTTTCGACCTCTCTAAACCATAAATAGTCACGATATCTTTTTTTATGGTATTTCGGGTTGGGACTTTGAAGAGAGGGTTCAAGGTGCAGCAAAACCTTTTGAAGTAAAGGTGGTCAACAATAGAAAGGGGATACTCATGCACCAAGATCATGGTGCAGAGTTCCTTTCTAGACACCTCACTACTGAATTGATTGGTACTCATGTCAGCTGTACCATTGACATTGTGGTTAGCACCCAGAATTTTTTGACTCCCATCATGTATTTTTTTTTATGAATACATTTGTTCCTATGAGTCCTAAGATGGGAGGTACCATTACTAGATTTCCCAGCCAAAATCTTCTTGCAGTAGTTGCATTTTGCTTTCAGAATCCCATTTACCATCATCCTAGTGAAGTGAGGCCAGACATCAGACTTTAAAGACCTACTAGCACCTAAGGGAAGTTGAGGAAGAACATCTTCCTCAACATTAGGAGGATTACCAGGAGGAGGGGCAGGTGCATTCTCAATGTGTTCAGGTTCCATCTGTTTAAGAGGAAGGAATAGGAAAAATGTTTTACAATTGTGTCCAGTTGGATTCAAAAGAGGACAGCCGACAGAGAAAGAAATTACAGTTACAGGATTAGGAGTTTAATTGATGAGAACTTAATCAGTTTAGCATTGACAACATTTACTGGATTTGTATCTTACTGGACTCGGCATTACTTACAACAGATTATCATTGATCGGATTACAGTTTAGCATCAAGCAGATTACAACAAATTAGCAAATTACTCGACATTATCAGTTTAGTATTGAGCAGATTAATAGATTATCAGTTTAGCAGTTTAGAAGTTCCCAACATAAGCTTACCAGTTTCAAACTTAAGTACTTAACAGATTAGATGTGTTCAGTACTTAAGTTGATCATAAACGAAACCAATTGACAAAATGTGAAAGTTACAATCATCCCCGATTGACCAGTATAGCATATTACATGTGTTCAAACCATATTTCCTTAGAACATAATCAATTCACCTTAAACAACCAAGTGAACTAGCAACAAGGTGCAAAATTAGCACCAGCTGAATTTCTAACAAGCTAAGAACGACTTACCTAAGCAGATTGAAGATTAATCACCTGCTGCTTGATGAGAATCCAGAACAGAGAGCTGCAAAAAGCCAAAAAAAACACAAATTTATGCAAATTAGCGTCTCCGATATTGAAATACTAAGCAAACACCCGCAAACAAATCATTAAACGAACTACTACATGCAAAACTTACTGAGAATGACGGATAAGCAGGGAGCTGCAAAAAGCCAGACACCTGCTGCTTGATGAGAATCCAGAAGACCAGAACAGAGAGCTGCAAAAAGCCAAAAAACACAAATTCAAGCAAAATTAGCGTCTCCGATATTGAAATACTAAGCAAACACCCGCAAACAAATCATTAAAGGAACTACTAAATGCAAAACTTACTGAGAATGACGGATAAGCAGGGGGGGTTCCGAAATCTTTTGGCTAGGGTTTCTGGATTTAGGGTTCCAAGAACTGCAGATGAACAAAATGAAGAAGTGAGTCTCCTATTTATACAGTATACACATTTCAGAACAAATCGAATAGGGAAAGAAAGAAGAAATGAATACTTATCTCGATCTGGGAAATAAATCGTATGCATGCACGATTCGAAGCCGATTTCCATCGATTGAGATATTTTAGGTGAGTGAGGGCAGCGATTTAGGGATGGGATCGTCGATTTACAAGGGAACACGCCGAGAAAGGAGGAGATATCGTCGGAATGGAAGAGATTTGGATAGGGATCGGAGAGAAATCGGCGATTCCGCCGATTCGCCATTTCGAGTTGAGAGGATTTCGGGGACGAGGGCGGCGGGGTTTGCTGAAAATGGGATTTCCAGACCCTAACCCTAAATTTGGCGATTATATACGCCTTACAAAACGACGTTGTTTTGTACTCGGGGCGGGTACGGGGCGGGGCTCGTTGAATCCGTCCCCAGCCCATCACTGCAGCGACCGGGTCGCGGGCAAACCCGTCACCGAAATCCAGCCCGCCTTCGCGGGTTTAAGCCCATTCCTTGAGGGCGGGCCCCGCCGGATGCCCAAAATCCGCGGGCCCATTGCCATCCCTACCTTCACTTGTTGCGCCCTCCTATGGTGTATTAACACACCTCCACACATTTGCATTCGATTTGGACGATCTTGATATGTAGCTAGGGGGAGCAATACCTGGGTGGACTCTTCTCTCATAGGGACAACCTCGATTTACTTTACTTGCTTGTTTTCATTTGTAGTTTTCTTAGTTTTAAACCCATAAATGTTTGCTAGATAACAAACTAAGCTATTGAAGTAGGGGTACATGGACCGTACCGGGTATGACAATTAAAACATATTTTCCCTATACTGCACCCGGCTAAAGTTTATGCTTGGGCTCTAGTCAGTATTTAAATCGCGGTGTATCCGTGGCGAGTCACTAATCCAAACGACCCCAAAGGAAAGACACCTTTGACTTGAGTAGTAAGAAAGATGCTGAAGTCGATTAACAAAAAATAATGTTTCATCTTCTTCCCTTGCTCTGCAATATTGCATCTCTGTTCTATACTCTATTATCTAGAAACCTCTTTGCGCAAAAGTCACTGACGACGATAAATTAGTCGTTCAAGTAGCTGAGCTCAGATTTCACTAGTGGGTTGTATACCAAGGAATGGGCCACATATGAGTTCAGGCACAACCTCCAATTGCTTCATACCCAACCAACCAAGTCCGGCCTAGTGACTAGCATCTTCTCACCTTCATGCGTCGTCGTTTAGCTTTAATAAATTAATTTACCTCTATAGTTTTTCACTTTATATTCCATACAAAAATAATTTCATCCAAAACAAATATCTAAAAAATCTGTGAAATACATTCATACCATACGATATGTAAGATTAAAAAAAATAATAATAAATAGAATCAAAGCAAATTGTGAATGGGACGTGTGACGTCCACTCGATTTTTAGCAAGGCGATAAATATTAATAGAATTACAAAATTTTCGCATCTCCATGACTGGACAATTTAGTACATGAGCAATCATGTGTCCTAAAGTCTATAAAATAGTCGAAACTACTATTCTCACCATGTTGAGCAAATAAAATCCGAGAGTTTTTAACAAGGCTTTGCTTGCAAAGCAATCCCGGTTTCTTCTCCATAATTTGGACTCCTTAATTGCCAGAATCTTAAAGACCAAATATTACCTAAATTGTTCTTTGATGGAGGCTACTGTAGGTTATCGTCCCAGCAATACTTGGCGAAGCATGCATTTTATCCCTCGAGACGTGATAATGAAGGGCTGCAGATGGAGAGTGGGGAATGACACCATGTTTTCGGATTTAGGAAGACAAGTGGGTACCGTCTCTGCATAATAAAAAACCAGAAGTATGCTCTCAATGCACAACGGGTTTCCATAAGGTGTTCAAGCTTATTGAATAATGTAGTTAAAAGTAAGTTTTTATATAGAAATGTTTTGGTGATCTAGAAGCGTAAAATCGTAAGTTTTTAATTTTTAGAGCGGAGTTTTTAACTACATAAGTTAATTAACAAGGTGAGTTAAGCTCGAGCTCGAGTTAGGCTTGTTTACTAAATCTTAGTTCATATTTGATACATTCATTTTGTATGTCATGTATGATACATGTGATTGACGTCATGAGTAACAAAAACTAGTTAAATGTTTAACATTAACTCATCTCATATTATACTTTGTTGGTTTCTTATTATTTAGTTAATAAATTTTAAAGAGTTCAAATCATATTATTTCATAGTATTGAAATAATTTATAGTACATAATTTCTTTTTAAAATTAAAATAAGGCATATCTTCTTGCATGCTCAACATGTTAAAATTCATATAGGGTGAGATATCTAATTTAATAGTCCTATCTATAATTATCAAAATCCAACTCCTAAAATATAGATCGATTTGATCATAATTCGATGATCAAGTTGGCACTTTAGCCACAATATTGAGACATTTCAAGAGCTCTAAACGAGTCAGCTCATGACGTTGAGCTCAACAAACCACTGATTCAAGCTAGCTCGCGAAGCATAGCTTAAGCGCAGCTCATTAGTAAATGAGCGAGTTTTTTCCGAGTCGAGCGTCGAACCGCTAGCTCATTTGCAGTCCTAGATGGAGACATGCTTATTGTGAGGCTAATATGTCGACTCACCAGCTAGCTCACCTTTTAAATGCGACTATTGATTGTAATAGCAGGATAGGGATTTCCACTCCCTTTGTACTGGGAGTTTTACTGAACGATATTAGTTATTTGGCCCATCAATAAATTATAGGAAGTACGCTACCTCCTTTCCTAAAAAAATCATATGAAACTTGGTTTTGATTAGATTAATCTGACTTCTCATTTCGTCCCTCTAGTTTCATGGTACCATCATGTCTATTATCCCTCACCTTATTGTCGTTGGAGTAATTTTTATTTGGTCTTAGTAAGAATCCAATAAAAGAAGGGAAAAAAAAAAACTAATTCCCCAAATTGAAAAGATCAATATTCTTGTAAAAAAGAAAAACAAAATCAATCTTGACCTCGATTTCATGATAGGGTTCAGAGATGAAAATGGGATGGCTTAACATATTGTTGGGAATTCTTGGTTTTGCATTTGGATTTCCCCTTGGTATTGTGATCGGTTTGGCTGTGTTGTCTTACTTTCAACAGACCTATCTTGAGGTTAGTTCAATGATTTTTAATGAAATGCTCGCAATTGCAAGCAATATGAAAAATTTGAATTAATTACTTCCCTTCAAACCTATCTTCTGATTCATTATTAAAATTGATTCACTTTTGGTTTGTTTTCTGTAGGAACTAGTTATCGAGCCACTTCATGAGCTGGACAAAGCTTCTTTGCTTGCAGTTTTGCCCGAGATTCCCATGTGGGTGAAACATCCTGATTATGAACGAGTAAGCTCTCCGTCAATGCGTGTTGTGTGTTTTGCGTCTAACTCTATATATCTCTAGCTCCGACGACACTTTTTCTCTAGTAATCAATTTTGAATTCATTTCTCACGATGGTCGTCTCAAAATTTCAGGTAGATTGGATAAACAAATTTGTGTTGGAATTGTGGCCTTCCCTTGACAAGGTGATGATATATTTACACCCACTTTCGACTTTTGAAGTTTTAATCTTTTGAATATTAATTGTGTGAGAAATCGAACAGGCAATATGTGACATGATAAGAGAGACACTAAATCCCATTTTTGATGAGTGTATACGACAGTACTATATAACCTCGATTGAGTTTCGAAGTTTGACTCTTGGGAGTTTGCCTCCTAATATTCAAGGTAAAATCATGCATAATAGGATTTCAAGTGTTTTTTTGTTTTTGTTTGTGAAAATATATCGTGCTTCAAATTTGGCCTTTTTTTGTTTGTTTGTGAAAATAGGTGTGAAGGTGCATGAAACGAATGAAAAAGAGTTGATAATTGATCCCATAGTTAGGTGGGCTGGAAATCCTAACATAAATTTGGTGGTGAAATTCCTCTTCTTGCCAATCACACTCCAGGTAATTAGATAGAAAGTTCAGAACAATAGCTATATAATGAAGTAGTCAATGTTTGATTTCTTGAGTAAAGGATACAAGTCCCGTGAACTAATCAGGACATAGTTTTTCAGCTATTGGATCTCCAAATATTTGCAGCGCCGAGGATCACTTTGAAGCCTTTGGTCCCAACTTTCCCATGTTTTGCTTCCATTGCAGTTTCTCTACTTGACAAGGTGCACTATGTTTATTTCTGTTCTGTTCTGTTCTTTCTTGTATCAATGTATGATCATTGATACATGCATGCATGCATATGGGACTCACTCAGTCACTGACGTGAAAAAAGTTACGTTGTATGCATAGCCGAGTGTGGATTTTGGGCTCAAGTTGCTTGGAGGTGATGTCATGGCCATCCCAGGTCTTTACCAATTCATCCAGGTTCGTACCATTCCACCCAAATTAAACTCTATATTATCATTAGAATCGACTTCCAAAGTTCAACTTGTTCTTTTCTAATGTTTGGGTGTATTCCTACTCCTAGTTAGGGCCATATTTTGTATCATAATCCTATGCTTTCTTTTGGGTCTTTTTGTCACGACGACACCGGGAGCAAATTGTTTGGATGATTTAGAACCATCGCCATTGTTGTGGATTAATATGGCAAAAACTGGTCCGTACGTGATTCAGTCACAAAGTGATAATTTATGGATATATATGCTCTAATTAACTATTCGCTTGGTGTTTCTTTCTTCTACTATATATATAAGCAGGAGCAAATACGCACACAAATAGCGAATATGTATCTATGGCCTCAAAATCTCGTTATTCCAATCTTAGACGAGTCACTGTAAGTTTGTCCCTTGAACATATATATAAATAACATGGTTCATATCCTTATGTAATAATCATCAACACTAAAATCGTTCATGCATGGATCAGAGGGGCTATCAAGAAGCCTGTTGGCATTTTATATGTGAAGGTGGTTAAAGCAGTGCAACTCCTAAAGAAGGACTTGCTGGGAGCTTCTGACCCTTATGTTAAGCTCAGCCTAAGCGGGGAGAGACTTACAGCCAAGAAAACTAGTGTAAAAATGAAGAATTTAAACCCTGAGTGGAATGAAGAGTTCAGGATGACTGTAAAGGACCCCAAATCCCAATTCCTTGAAGTCCATGTTTATGATTGGGAAAAGGTCAGGTCAGGTCTTCTCAATTACATTAATTTCAAGCTGAGTAACCATTAATTATCATCTCCAACGTAACTAAATGTATGTATGGGTTTTTGGTACCAGATTGGGAAGCATAACAACTTGGGAATGCAAGTCGTTCCTCTCAGTTTATTGGTTCCACATCAGAAGAAGGAACTTACCCTGGACCTTATGAAGAACATCAGCCTCAACAATAACAAGAACAAGTATAGAGGAAAGTTGGTTTTGGAGTTGACATTCAACCCATTCAAGGAAGACAACTTAAATTACAGTGGACGTCATTTGGATAATTATTCTACAACCACTAATAATAAGGAATTGGGTGAGGGTCATATGAGTCGTCATTCCATAGGCGGATTGCTGATAGTCACAATTCCAGGAGCTGAAAATGTGGAAGGAAACCACCACAATAACCCTTATGCTCTTGTCACATTTAGAGGAGAAGAGAAGAGGACCAAAGTAATTAAAGTCGCACTTTTTCTTAATGTTGATCTTAATTTGCTCATTGAATTTCTTCATTACATGCATTACGGTGGTCATAATATAATTAATGTGGCTTGGTGGTGGTACGTAGTTGATGAAGAAGACTCGGAACCCAAAATGGAACGAGGAGTTCCAATTCGTGTTGGACGAGCCACCGTTGAAGGAAAAGATACATATACAAGTGATGAGTAGGAGGACAGGGTTCGGATTTCGACCTAAGGTTGGAATAAGCTAAGTAAACACATATATATGTATCCCTTGTTTATTTCTTGATGCTCGCTCCCTCATAATTAGATACATCGAATTAATTAATGGCTTCTATTTCTTTCTTCTTTTGTGCAGGAAACTTTGGGTCATGTTGAGATAAGTTTAGTAGATGTGATTCACAATGGGAGGATAAACCAGAAGTACCACTTAATCAACTCCAAGAGTGGATTCGTAAGTGTTGACATAAGATGGAAGGTGATTTGAGACCACCAAATTTTGAGCGCAAATCCCCTTTTTCAGATAATTTAGTTTCAACATGCATGCTACACATGTATATACAATTAATTATACATTTTCAATATACAAAAACTATCCCGTAAATTAAATACTTGTACATGGTTTTAAATCAAATAAGAAAAAGGAAATGTTTCAACAAAAAAACATTCGGTTCAAAGTAGAATAAAGGATACAAAGCTTAAGAAACACCATATTTTCTATGAATGAGACGAGGATGTTGGTTGCGTCGAGCGCGAGATTATATACCTGTCATTCAATAACTTACCCACAGATTAAACTTAATGACGATAATTGACACACTTGAAATAATAGAAACACAGAATTAATTTACTTACTAAACGAATTATCAACCTAGAGTTTCTAATAGCAGAGACCTTGACCTATTAAGTTTATTAGCTAATCTCTAATCAACAACTTGGGTAAGTGACTTAACGTTTAAGTCTTACTAGGCCAATTAGTTGAAAACCAAACCAGTAAACCTTGCGTCTAGACCGAATGGGCTTCTAAGCCCAATCACTTGAATTTTATGATTCTAGGGCGGCAAAAGAACACCCCCGAAGGCCCAGTTCAATTGCCAACTAAACCCGATCCAACTTACAAATGATAGACAAAACTGTATAGTTTCAACACCAACTCACTCCCCTTTCCCGCCTGTGAATTCTAAATCAAACCAACCCCTGTTTATGATCGATTCAAGAACAGGAGAAGAACTCCAAAAATTCTGCAGAATAAAACCAGAACTTTATGACACAAATACTTCGAACCAGGTCGTAAAACTTTCCCAAACCAGTTCTGGCACTTTCCTCACACTTCGTTCTATCTAGCTTCTCCTGATTGAGTTTCCCTGCAAACACAGAACTCACACAGAAGCATATACAGAACTGAAAGTAAAAAAAAACAGAGTATGAGCACATCCCACAATTTTTACGTGGTTTCCAGTATTGGGAGAATAAGAATCCCAATACTGACTACTCCACGGTCGAAGAGTCACGATTGTGTGATCTCATTCACAAATGATTTTGCATTGAAGTTCGTTGAGACAATCTATCTACCCGAAAAGCCTTTGATCAATCTAAACCCAATTGATCAAACTCTCTCTAATCTAACCCCGAATTGCTTCCCCAACAACTCATAACAGTGTTTTCCAAACACTAACCCTCAAAGCAATTCTCCCCGAACCCTTTGAGAAACCCCCTTTTCTATCAACCTTGCTACTCTCACAAAATCCCCTTTTGTCTTAGCTAGCTTTGTTGATCACTTGAAAAGGTTGCCATTGCTCTTCCTTCAAATTGCCTTTTATAGGCTGCAATGTAGTCGTTGCTAATTCAAATTCCTTCCCTTATTAGTGATGATTTTCTTGAGAGTCCATCTTCTGATTTGATTTGCATTGCTGTACCAAATCTCCTTAATCTGATCTCTCCTCTTATTTTCCTCCTTTCCATGTTTGCTCCTGATCTTCTTTCCTTCTCAAGTGTCCTTTGACTAGCTTGTTCCAACATTCTCCCCCTAAGCTATCAATGGCCAAACTTCTCCCCCTGAGCAAGATGTCCCAGAATCTGTCTCAACTTGTCAAAGTTCATTCTTAAACTGCTCCCAATCAGGACCTGCACACTTAACAAACCATTGGTGCAGCCTGTCCAATCCTCTAATCATGACAACAAGTATTATGAGTTCAAAAGATGACAATAGGAGTTCATTTTATTCATAGTAACCGAAACAGACATCAACTGACCCTTGACACTAGGCCTCAGCAAGTCTTTTTAAAAGATAGATTAACCAAAACCTAACATCTAAACCCGACTTCACTAACCAGACAACCAGACCAGAATTATTAAACCGAAAAGAAACATTCATGGATCTCCCCCTAAGTTAAATAGCAAAAATATTCCTAGTAGGAGTACTCTGGAGAGGAAGCATACTTAGATGGATCTTCTTCCCCATCTTCCGAAGATACGAATAAAACCTTGTTGACCTTCTTGCCAGAAGAACTGGCCTCTTTTCCTTTCAGAGCCAAGGTCAGATCATGAAGTATCCCTTTTCCCTCCTTCTCCATATTTATCCCTTCCTGAAGGTGTCCCAAGTTCAGAACCCTCTTGCGTTTTCCGGATGCTTCTGCCACTTCCTTTCCCTTGTCAAGTCTTGCGGGCAACGCTGCTACATTGTCGTCTTTATCAGAACCTGATTCGGACTGAGCAGATTTGTCTCCCCCTTGAACTTTGGCAAGTTTTTGAGGTCCAAGCTCCGAGAGGGCGCAACATAGGACAGGTTGGTCTTGGAGGTCAGAATGGACTTCCTGGTTAGTAATCTTCCCACGCATATAGACCCTTAAGACTGCCAGCAAGGCGGTGATTTGCGGACCAAAAGGCAGCTTCCCACTGCCTTTTGGTTAGTAATCTTCTTCTCGATATTTAATCATGTGATTAAACATGAGTGAAACGTAGCTGATCGGGTAGCTTGTTTTAGCGTTAAACAGAATCCACAGGTCAGATTCTTCGAGAGTAGTTTCCGTTTCAGCATCTCGAGGGAGGAACATGTGAGTGATGTAGAATTGCAAGGCCTTCAAATTATCAGGAAGCCGCTCAACAGAGAACATGGGGGATTGGTACTTCCCATAGTCACGAGCAAGGTAGGACATAGTGTCTATGGGATGGAACCCATAGCTGTCAAAATCTTCTGTCGTCCCAGCTAGATATCCATTGTGAGGGAGATGCAGCAGAGTGGCCAACACATCAGCAGTGATTGTCACGCTAAAATTGTAGACAGTGGTGGTGAAGAAGGTCGGATTTTTGCCAGGGCCGCACTGCATACTCACAATAGAACATTCGCACAGCTTCTGGACATTTATCAAGGTAGCGATGCTGGAGTAATGAGCTCCACCCAAGGTCATTCACATACCCGTTAACCCTCAGTCTCTGACGATTGAAAGTGGTGGGTGGTATGAGGAGCGAAGGATGGAGAGGGCGTTCTTGAAAGCATCGAAGATACCTGGAGTATGCCTCCGAGTTTCGGAAGCCTCGATTGGTAAATATGGCAGCAGGAGCAAGGTGGACATTGAGGAAGGGATTGCTCGGCGCCATGGTGACGCGATGAGCGAGAATGGATTTTTGATCGACTACTTTTGCTGAATACGTGATGAGATGTCCATTGAACTAAGGTGGCTTTTATAGGGACTGACCGAGAATTGGATGGGGAAGGTACTGATCTCTTCTTAGACAGGATTCTCTAAAGCAATTAAGAGATGGGGGATTTGATCGAGCCCATTTGAGGAAGCAATTCAGAGAAGAGGATTTGATTCCTCTGCGTCCTCTGGCAGCGGACCAGAACTTCCTTTGATCGTCCTCTCATTTTCTAAAGACTCAATGTAGCAGCAATCATGTTCAAAGATTATCCTCTTATCTTTACCACACATTTGACTAATAGAAAACAAATTGTGCTTAAGACCTTTTACTAGCATCACATTCTCAATGCAAGGATCTGAACCTACTATTCCTCTTCCTATTCTATCGGCAAAATTATTGTCACCAAAGAATACCTTACCACCTTTACCTTCTTTGAGTGTGGTGAATAGGTTTCGATTTCCTGTCATGTGGTGTGAGCATCCACTGTCTAGTATCCATTCAGTTGCCTCCATGCTCACTTGGAAGCAAACCTGCGCCATTAGCAGTCATGCAGTTTTGGGCTCACTCCGGTCACCCGGGTCAAATACCTTGGGTCACCGTGGGGTCACTCAGGCCACTCTGGGGTCAAATACATTGGGTTACCTTTGTGTCACTCCGGCCACTCCGGGGACAAATACCTTGGGTCACTCCAGCCACAACGGGGTCAAATACCTTGGGGCACCCAGCCCACCTTGGGGTCACTCAGGCCACCCGGGGTCAAATACCTTGTGTCACCTAGCCCATCCCGGGGTCACTCCGTTCACCCGAGTCAAATACCTTGGGTCATTTTGGGATCACTCCGGCCACCCCGGGGTCAAATACCTTGGGTCACCTAGGGGTCACTCAGGCCCCCCTGTGGTCAAATACCTTGGGTCACCTTTGGGTCGCTCCGGCCACCCGGGGGTCAAATACCCTGGGTCACCTCGGCTACCTTGGGCTCTCCTCCCACCCTAGGTCACCTCAACCTTTGGCTACGTACCCCCGCAACGTGTCCACCGACCAAACCACCAAGCTCTCGAAGGACACACGTACTCCCTTCATGTTCGCCTGGGAGCCTCTATAAAAGGCCAGTTCTTCTCCAGATTGAGGTAAGCAAAAAATTCCTCATGCCTAGACTTGTGAACTCGCGCTATGATTAGCGCATATATTCATTCTCAACTCCATTCCCTCTTCTTTCTTTTCGAGATCATATTCCTCTCCACTCAGCACCCTCACTAACTTGAGCGTCGGAGAGTGTCCCCGCCGAGATCGGCTGGAGGACCCTTTTTGCAGGAGACGACCAGAGCTAACATCACGAGTGAAGTTCGAGGTGAAAGGTGGCCGTCGACCGACTCCGGTGCCCTGCATAAAAAATTCAACGTCGGCTACAACCCCGGCATCAACAATTGGCGCCCACCGTGGGGCCTCGGAGCAAAAAGTTGGAAAAAAACCTAGCGCCACTACTTCGCTCAGGATGGAGTCTCAAAGCTCCCTACACCCCCAAACTGGCAGCGGAGTTCGAGACAAAGAGCCAGCTCCTCCACCGTCTGTTGAAGAACTTCAAGCCCAAGTTGAGCAGTTGAAAGCCCAAGTCCAAGATTTGACATCAGCTCCTCCTCCAACCCATAGGTTGCATGCCAGCTATAGCCACCAACCGAAGACCATCGGAGGGTCAGACTACCCCAATGGGACGTCAATCCCTCCTACACCTCCCCAACCAGGGGTTCTCTCATACCTTGAGGCCCACCTGACTCCTAGTTTCATGGAGGACCCTGGGCACGGCGAGCCTTTGGCCCGTTCAGTCCTGGATCAGCCCAACCCACCCCCCCCCCCCCCCCCCCCGAACTTCCAAATGCCTCTCCACCTCCTAGAATACTATGGCACTTCCAACCCAGAGGATCACCTCAGTGCCTTCCAAATTTTGATGCCTTTCATGGGGGCATCTGAGGCTACCATGTGCAAACTCTTCCCCACCGCCCTCCGGGGAGTGGCATTTCAATGGTATACTCAGTTGCGAAATGGCATATTCACCAGCTTTGAGGAGTTCGCCACCCTCTTTCGAGCCAATTTTTTTGCCCATAAACGACCAAATGTGGACGTGTCTCACCTCATGAGCACTAAACAAAGAGAGTACGAAAACCTTAAGGAGTATTACTCTCAATTCAGCATGATTGTTGTCAGGGTTACCAATCTAACCACAGAAAATGCAACTCATGCCCTCGTATTTGGAACAAGCAACTCTCTTCTCCGAGCGTCACTCATAAAGCGGAGTCCCCGCAACATGATGGATCTCCAGGAAAAGGTGTCCAAATACATCGCCCTCGATGAAACCTTACAAGAGGCAGCTCCCCCAAAGCGTGCTCGGTCACCGCAAAAAAAGGAAACGAGAACCCTCAGCTCCACATCGTCCAGACTCACCATAGTCTCGTGACCATCAACAAGGTCACTCTCTGTCTGGCCAAGGCATGGGGGCACGTCGAGACAAACGTCGGGAGGAGTTAATCCCTAAGCCTGACCGGAATTTCACCCCGCTAACAGAGTCCCGCAAGACCATTCTTCAGATAATCCAGGAGAAAAAGATCCCCATATCCTGGCCAAACCCCATAACAAAAGAACCTCGGAAAGGGAAACACAAGTACTGTGATTTCCACCGGGGATATGGCCATGACACCGAGCGATGTTGGACTTTAAAAAACTACATCGAAGACCTGGGAAGGTCACCTGAAGAAATACATTGGGAACCCAGAGAGCCGCCCTCAAGAAGTAGCACCGACAGATCGAGGAAAGGCACCACAGGGCGGTGGGATACTCGGAGTCGTGGATGTCATCCACGGGGGCGCTGGTTTGAGCAATGCTAGCAGAAAGCCACTCTCGACCTGCGTTCAAGCGATGGTGGGGTCAACATCCTCTATCGCGGGGACTCCCACAATTTCCTTTGATGTCAAAGACTTGGACGGAGTCACCCACCCCCATGATGACCCGCTAGTGATTGAGGCTGTGGTTGCAGACTACAAGGTCAAACGAATCCATGTGGATGGAGGTAGCTCGGCGGATCTCCTGTTTTACCCTGCTTACCTCTCCCTGGGGTACCGCCCAGACCAATGCCGGCCCGCCAAAATTTGCTTGGTCGGTTTCTCAGGAACTCAGGTACCCGTGATCGGGACGCTCCCACTACGTGTTCGTGTTGGAGAAGGGGACCAAATTGCAGATACTGTCACCAACTTTCACATCGTAGATTGCCCATCAGTATACAATTGCATTCTAGGCCGACCTTTTTTACATAAACTCCGAGCAGTCCCCTCCACATTCCACCTCCGCCTTAAGTTTCCAACAAACACTGGCATTGGATGTGTTCGGGGAGATCAAGCTCTTGCCAAACAGTGTTGCACACTTTCTTTACAAAAGAAAGCAGTTGTCAACATTGACGCCCGAGAAGAAGGCATTTGTCCCGTTCTCGTTGACCCCGATGAAGATTTTCCTATCTCCGAGGTGCACACTGTCCGCATATCTACAGCATGGCCTCGTGAGGCACTTCAATCTCTTTTGACACTTCTCCAAGAGTTTGAAGAGGTTTTTGCCTGGGGTCCAGAGGACATGCCCGGTGTCGACCGCCGGGTGGCAGAACATGCGCTTGGAATTGCACCTAGAAGCCGCCCCATCCAACAAAAGCGACGCAATTTTTCTTGGGAAAGACGCCAAGCAGTGGCGGAAGAAGTCTCAAGGCTTCTCAAAGCAAAATTCATTCAGGAAGTTCTCTATCCAACATGGCTCGCAAACGTGGTAATGTTGAAGAAGGCAAATGGCCAATGGCGAATGTGCGTCGACTTTACAGATCTCAACAAGGCCTGCCCCAAAGACCCGTATCCTCTCTCAAAGATTGATCAGCTGGTCGATGCTACTGCCGGCCACCGATTTCTCAGCTTCCTAAATATGTTCTCAGGGTATCATCAAATCCCCATGAGAAAGGAGGACCAAGAGAAAATTGCATTCATGACACCTGTGGGCAACTATTGCTACAAGGTGATGCCTTTTGGGCTAAAAAATGTCGGTGCCACATACCAGCGAATGGTGGACCGTGTTTTTGCCCGTCAGCTAGGGAGAAATCTGGAGGCTTATGTCGATGACATCTTGATAAAAAGCAAGGGTGTAGATGAGCACCTAGAGGACTTGAGGGAGTCCCTCAACACTATGCGCCTATACGACCTTCGCCTTAACGCAAAGAAGTGTGTCTTTGGGGCCACCGCCGTGAAGTTTCTTGGTTTCATGCTCACTCAAAGGGGTATCGAGGCCAACACACGTCAAATCGATGCCATTCTCCAAATGTCACCACCAACCAAAGGAAGGGAAGTCCAAGTCCTCACGGGACGGATTTCCGCCCTCAACCGATTCATCGCCTGTTCTGGAGATCGGTGCGCTCCATCTTCGCTACTCTCAAAGGGGCTAGTAAGACCTTTTTATGGACACCTGAGTGGGAGAAGGCATTCGAAGAATTGAAAAATTATCTGGTCACCCCTCATGTACTATCCACCCCTCTGAATAATGAAGTTCTCTATCTTTACATTGCCGTGTCGCCTAAGGCGGTTAGTGCAGTCTTGGTGCGGAAAGACCACGATGGGCGAGAACACCTTGTATACTACTCAAGCAAAACGCTCTTGGATGCTCAGACAAGATACACGCCGGTTGAGCAAGCTGCACTCGCCGTAGTTGTTGCCTCTCCAAAAATGCGCCCCTACTTCCAGAGTCATGCCATTTGTGTCCTAACACACCTCCCTCTTAGACGCCTTCTCCAAAAAATGGACATCTCCGGACGCATGGTCAATTGGGCAGTAGAGTTGAGTGAGTTTGATATCACCTTCCTTCCACGAACAGCCATCAAATCACAAGTACTTGCTGATTTTGTTTTCAAAGGAGTAAGTTTTTGCTCTCCTCCAGAATCTGAAACATGACAGTTGTATGTTGATGGAGCCTCTAACAAGTCTGGTGTCAGGGCGGGCAAACTGCTAATAAGCCCACTTGACGTCGCTCACGAGCTCGCCATCAGGTTCACCACACCAAATACAAACAATGCAGCCGAATATGAGGCCTTACTAGCCGGGTTATCCATGGCACAAGAGCTGGGGGTGCAACGAGTACTTGTCCAGTCTGATTCAGCACTTGTGGTCAACCAATTCATGGGGGCCTTTGAAACTTGAGAACCTACACTTGCCGTCTACACTGGGGCGGTGCGAGGGCTCTTGCTGACTTTGCTCATGCCCAAATCATCCATATTGCTCGTGAAGATAATATCCATGTTGATGCGCTCTCCAAGTTAGCAACCGCTAGAGATTTCGTAGATGAATGACACGTGGTAGTGGAGCGACGCCCAGCGTTATTGTGTGCTTAGACAGAAATGGGTCTCCTCCAACATGATTGGCGTAGACCCCTCCTAGAATACCTCCGCAACGGAATCCTTCCCAGTGACCCAAAGGAGGCCATTCTCCTGAAACGGAGGGGCCCTTTGTACACATTGATTGAAAATGACCTTTATCGAAAAAGTAAAGATGGCCCGTACCTGAGATGTCTTAGTAAAGGGGAAGCCTATTTTGCCCTTCAGGAAGTCCATGAGGGATCGTATGCCATGCACGTCGGTCCACGAAGCCTGGAAAAAACCCTCCTCCGTCAAGGTTATTATTGGCCAACACTTCGTCGAGATGCCAATGCATACGTCAAAGCATGTCCCAAGTGTCAGGTGACGGCCCATGTTCCTCATGCGCCAACCGCACCCATGCAAGGCAATCTTAGCCCTTGGCCTTTCTCCCAATGGAGGATGGATTTTCTTGGCCCCTTCCCTAGAGCTCCCGGCAAAAAGAAGTGGCTTATAGTCACAATCGACTATTTCACTAAATGGATCGAAGCAGAAGCTCTCACAGGAATGACGGCTCAGAAGGTACAAAAATTCCTATGGAATAATATAATATGTCGGTTCAGTGATGACTTGATATACACACATGTTTTTGTCCACCATTCTTACACCGTTTGAGTCTTATCTCTCGTGTTTTAGGCCGATTTCACGCTAGGTTGTTCTTGTTTGTGATATTTCAGGTCCTAGTATGTGAATGAAGGTTTAGGAACGAGTTCGGGGTCGATTGGACGGAGATCGGACGTTTGGCAAGAAGTTGAGGAAGTCACACGGGCATGCCTAAAACCCACACGGCCGTGTAAGGGAACCCATGTGGCAGTGTGGAAATTCCAGGGAACTCACACGGGAAGCCTCGAAATCCACACGGCCGTGTGGTTGTGGCCGTGTAGGATGGCTGAAGTCCACTTATTAAAACGCCGCGTTTTGCACAACTCACACGGGCAGCTAGGAAAGCCACACGACCGTGTGGTCGGGAATTTCTGGGTTTTAACCCAAATTCAATCCAAAGGAGAGGGAATCGACTTTTTGGAGCAAAAACAGAGCCCTAGTGAGAGAAAGTGCGAAGAACACCCCCTAAGAGTGGTTTTTGAGCTGGGTTTCATCAATCAAGCTTGGAAATCATCCTTGGAGTGAAGATTGACATCCCAGAGCAGATTCTTCCCATCTTTATGAGTATGACTGCTTTGTATTATGTTTTCCTCTCTCTCTCTCTCTATGGAGTAGAACCCTCTCTCACTTGGGTATGAAGAACCCTAGTTCCATGTGTTAGGGATCTTGATTGTAATGACTTGGGATTGTTATACTGTTTGGTTTTAATCGAATGATGCATGATTCATTGAATCAATTGAAGTCTGATCATCTTTTCTTGATTTCTGCTACAACCTGAGATAGATAAAATCTGATTAGGTTGTTAGATCTTCATCATTCGGTAGTGGTAGATTGATTATACGTGAGTTAATCAATCTACTGCTTTGTACTGGAATCTAATTCCAGTAGTGGAGTTCTGTGTTCATTGCTTCAGCTTTCTATCCCGGTGAAGACTAGGCGTCTACCGGGTAGTTGGACTGAGAGGGCTTGGTCAGCTTAAGAGATTCCAAGCTACTGTCAGATCTTCCGCAGTTTAATCAACAGTAAATCAATCAAGGGTAATTCCAACTGAGACCTAACTAAGGAGCTAGGGGGACTCATTCCCGAGTGACTCTTCCTTTGCTCTAGAAAACCGAATATTTTCCTTCTTTCTTACTGCTTTTAATTAAAAGCACAATCAATCTACTTTAGTTGGCTATATAATAGATATTCACGGAGTAGGCAGTAGATCTAGACCCCGGGTTGATAATTAGAACTTGCCACTTTACTGCATTCCCGGACTGCGATTACACTTGGTCGCAGTTTGGTGTTGTGTTTTAGCGTGTCACCTCCCTCACACAATTGTGCTCGACCAAGGCACGCAATTCCAGAGTGATGAGCTCCAAACTTATTGTGCTCGTTACAAAATCCTCCTCATATATGCTTCTGTTGCCTACCCACAAGCCAATGGTCAGGCGGAGTCCGCCAACAAGAGCATCTTGTGGGGTTTAAAAACCCGTTTGGATACTGCTAAGGGAAGATGGGCCGAGGAGCTCCCGCATGTTTTATGGGCTCACAGGAGCACCTGCAAGAACGCCACCGGTGATACGCCTTATGCGCTCACATATGGTACCGATGCTATGCTACCAATCGAGATGGAGTTAGCCTCATATCGGATCTTGTCCTTCAACCCAAGCACCAACCTACAGGAGCTCACGCACAACCTGGACCTGGCAGAGGAACGACGTGAGGATGCCCGACTCCGCCTCGTTGCTTCCCAAGACCGAGTTGCAAGATACTATAACTCAAAGGTGAAGCAGCGCCCGCTCCAAGTGGGTGATTGGGTTCTAAGGAGAAACTTCCGCTTTGATCCCCGCCAGGGAAAGTTCACTCCCAAGTGGGAAGGGCCATAAAAGGTGAGGGAAGTTGTCGGCCCCAACACCGTTAAATTGGAGGACATTGAAGGCAGTGATATGTCAAAAACTTGGAACTCCATGAACCTACGACGCTACTTCACCCCAATGTAATAATGTATCCCGAAATAAAGTCTAGTGTATGATGAAATAAAAGGGTGCTTCAGCGCACTTCTTAACTAGTTCTATGGTAGTTTATAACAAAACCAACAAGAAATAAAGGATACATAAGAAGAATAAGAAAATGTCATATCTCAACCTACTCAAACCCAGGAGGGCGAGGGGGAAAATCATGAGGGGTAGATGGGAGACCCGAGAAATGAATAGCTGCAGGCCAAAACGCTCAAAGTCCTCCACCCCCACACCGGTCGAGCCTACAAGATTGCTAATCTGTCTCCCAAAGGATCCCAGAGAACCCAAAGAATGGGTCTCGGGCTCGAGAGCTCTCCTAACCGAGCTCGCTCCACCTGAAACACCCGCTCCGCCCGAAATGCCTGCTCCACCTGAAGCTCCCGCTCCACCTGAAGCAACGGTCATCGTCTCCATCATATCCGCCCGTCGTGTGACCTCAGCTCTAAGGAAGTCCTCATCCAAGTGGATCGTCGGGTAGTAGTGACGAAGAACGTCCATGGCTAACTGAAAGAACTGAGTAGCTGCTGTAGACATGAACTCCCTATGTCGTACCGCCTGACGCTCCAGCTGACCAGAATCGGCCCTCTCCCGAGCAATAATCTCCCTGGACACCCCAACTGCCGCCTGTTGCTGACCCAAGAAAAACCTCACCTCAGCTAAAGCGGCTTGATCTTTCTCACGACCGCTCCTCTCTTGCTCTAGTTGACGACGCAGATTCACCCGCTGAGACTCTAGCTCCTGAACATAGGCATCCCTAACTTGAAGCCTCTGCTCCTCCAATATGCGCCCGGCCCTATCAGTAGCCTCACGTGTTGTCCGAGCCTCTAAAGTTCGTGAAGAGGCCATCACTTGAAGAAACTACAAGCAAGAAAGAAGTAAATACCAACAAAGAGAAACATGACAAAATTGGGTTGGCTAGAGTGATACCTGCATGGTAGATGCCATGATAGAAGCATCCATATCATCCCTGCTCTCTATCACGTCCCTTCCCCATGTGGTTTGGATCTCCTCGAAAGACCTTGAAGGATCCGCCTGGGAGGACATGAAGAATGACCCTAATGATGGACGACCTCCATCTGAACCACCCGTAGGTCTCGTGGGTTCCGGACCTAGAGATCCAGTTCCTGCTGCTGATGAAAGCACCATGGTGTGAGACTGAAATGGCCCCACCATGCTACCCTCGCGACTAGCAGCTACACTAGGCGCATCCCCCATAAACTCTCCATGCAGAATCCCCAAGCTACCCCCTGTCGGCTCAGAAATGAGCAATCTACCGCAACCTCGAGATGCCTCTTCCTCTGACTCTAGGACAATTCTCCTCCTTCGACGGTTCCCCTGGTCGCCCATAGATGAATCACCCTGAACACGAGAAAGAGAACCCTCTCGGGTAGTCGGGGTAAGTATCCGACGAGTCGCCCATGGAGTCGTTCTCTCACCAGCCGCTACTCTCAAAGAACACCTCTCCTTCTTTAGGATCCACTGGAGCTCCATATCTTCCCAGAAGAGGTTCATATGTAAAAGTGAATTGAAAGGAGATAAAAATAGTATAAAAATACATCGCCATGGTTCACTCTATGTTCCTCCTACCAGAACCGTATACATCATCAATCAGAGTAGCCATCGACGCAGCCATGTGAGCCTGAACAAAACCGGTCGCAAAGACTCAGGTCGCCATTATGCCAAGATCCCCCTGAAGCAAGGGCTTCGATGCATCCTTATTAACAGCACTCCTCCCGTCGGGGATGCTAGCCCTCCCACGAACTATGCCTCCTGGAGGTGGGCACCTTAGGTCTACATGCTAGGCGCCAGCCACCACTAAACGACTGCAGCTGGAAGCAGCAACGAAATAAATCTGAAGAGGGCCACACACTAGCAGCCCGACAGCGGGAGATGAACACCGCAACATGAAGCCTGAAGGTAGGAACCATGGAGCTAGTGGAAATGTTCCACTCCTCCATCACCTCACCAAGCCACTCGGGGAGAGGTGGACGAAAACCATACACCAGTGACTGGTAGTGCAGCCCGTACCATCCTGGACCTCCATCAGAGATTGTGGACCCCACTGTTGAGATAGCAAAATCCCAGCCCGGACTAAGAATGAAACTCGAAAAAGCATTGCGCAAGCGAGAGATCTCACTTGCCACAAATGACGGATCAGCCCGGGTCACTAGGACCACTGGAGCGGTCCCCTGGGGATACGTCTTTGCAAGTAGGCAGATGTGAATCCCCTGTGTATCGCTAACCAGTGAAGTATGATGGATGTCCTCTGGAGTGGCAACATCAGCTCTCACGATCCTCCTGTTAGCTGCAGAAGCCTCCCCTCCTCCCTCTGCATCTCTCTCCTTAACCACCTTCTCGATCATTCCTTCGACAACTACCCCACTAGCCTCAACCGCAATCCCTGCTCGGCTGGTCACTTCTGCCTCCTCAACATGATATGTCTCCCTCATATCACAAGCATAATCCATTGACTCTGTAGTAATCACTGGCGTATCACAAAAATATGCCTATCTCACTAACTATGATGATCTAAACTAGATTCTTTGTTCCGGCGTGTGAGGAAAATGTGAAGGTGAGTGGAAGACATACCTTATACGATGGGATGCGACGAAATGCCCCTTCACCTCCCGCTTCAAAATGACACTGCCACCCGGTATTGTGGAAAAGGATGGGTTCAAGGAAGGATGTCAGAGCTTGAAGTGGGCAAAGGAGTGGGGAAAGAGTGGAGGGGAATGGGGCAGAGGAATGGGAGAAGTGAAGGATGGGAGGAGGTGGGAAAAGTGAGGGATGGAGAAGAGGTGGGAGAAATGGCTTTATATAGCCACACTAGTCTACCTTCCAACACCTCAACACTTGTGACGTAATAAATACGACACAAATTTCCCGATGGTCAACTCTCAATATTCGTGAGACATTAACCTGTCACAATTTCCACCAAGTCAAACACCATAACCATTATTATGGTGAAGAACACATTAATCATCTCATCTTCCTCCACTAGCTTTGATAAACCTTTACCCTCCTCCTACTGGTAACGGTGTCAACAATGATCTCCGCTCGAGATACCGAGCCTTCGCGCGTGATACCGATCCACGAATTGGCTCGGACTCCATCAGATAAGGAAAAGTGTCAATAAAATATGGACCCCCATTAAACCGTTGGCCTAACAAATGCCAAAAGGATAGAATTGTCGATGGGAAATTTCGATGAAATTGAAATTCCCACCGGCAAGGGGGGCAACTAGTGGACCGTAAGAAAATTTTATTTTATTGGACGGAAACAACCCCACCCCGAGGTCACTCCGGTCACCAGGGTCAAATACCTTGGGTCACCTTGGGGTCACTCCGGCCTCACTCCGGTCACCCGGGTTAAAGACCTTGGCTCACTTTGGGATCACTCCGGCCACCCCGAGGTCAAATACCTTGGGTCACCTAGCCCACCCCGGGCTCACTCCGGTCACCCGGATCAAATACCTTGGGTCACCATGGGTCGCTCAGGCCACCCCGGGGTCAAATACCTTGGGTCACCTTTGGGTCACTAAGGCCACCCCGGGGTTAAATAACTTGGGTCACTCCAGCCACACCGGGGTCAAATACCTTGGGTCACCCAGCCCACCTTGGGGTCTCTCAGGCCACCCTGAGGTCAAATACCTTGGGTCACCTTGCCCACCCCGGGCTCACTCCGGTCACCCGGGTCAAATACCTTGGGTCACCATGGGGTCACTTAGGCCACCCCGGGGTCAAATACCTTGGGTCACCTAGCCCACCCCGAACTCACTCCTGTCACCCGAGCCAAATACCTTGGGTCACCGTGGGGTCACTCAAGCCACCCCGGGGTCAAATACCTTGGGTCACTTTGGGATCACTCCGGCCACCCTGGGGTCAAATACCTTGGGTCACCGTGGGGTCACTCAGGCCACCCCGGGCTCACTCCGATCACCCGGGTCAAATACCTTGGGTCACCGTGGGGTCACTCAGGCCACCCCGGGGTCAAATACCTTGGGTCAACTTTGGGTCACTCCGGCCACCCCGGGGTCAAATACCTTGGGTCACTCCAGCCACCCCGGGGTCAAATACCTTGGGGCACCCAGCCCACCTTGGGGTCACTCAGGCCGCCCTGGGGTCAAATACCTTGGGTCACCTAGCCCACCCCGGGGTCACTCTGGTCACCCGAGTCAAATACCTTGAGTGACTTTGGGATCACTCCGGCCACCCTGGGATCAAATACCTTGGGTCACCTTGGGGTCACTCAGGCCCCCCCTGGTCAAATACCTTGGGTCACCTTTGGGTCGCTCCGGCCACCCCAGGGTCAAATACCCTAGGTCACCTCGGCTACCTTGGGCTCTCCGCCCACCCCAAGTCACCTCAACCTTTGGCCACGTACCCCCTCAACGTGTCCACCGACCGAACCACCAAGCTCTCAAAGGAGATATGTACCCCCTTCATGTTTGCCTGGGAGCCTCTATAAAAGGCCGCTTCGTCTCCAGATTGAGGTAAGCAAAAAATTCCCCATGCCTAGACTCGTGAACTCTCGCTATGATTAGCGTAGATATTCATTCTCAACTCCATTCCCTCATCTTTCTTTTCGATATCATATTCCTCTCCACTCGGCACCCTCACTAACTTGAGCGTCGGAGAGTGTCCCCGCCGAGATCGGCTAGAGGACCCTTTTTGTAGGAGACGACCAAAGCTAACATCACGAGTGAAGTTCGAGGCGAAAGGTGGCCGTCGATCGACTCCGGTGCCCAGCATAAAAAATTCAACGTCGGCTACAACCCCGACATCAACAAAGCTCGAGCTCAGCTCGTTTATGAAAATGAAAGCTCGAGCTCGACTCGTCAAATAAGTTTAATGAGCCCAAAATCGAGTTCAGCTCATAAAATGTACATGATAGATCAAGATTGACCGAGAACTGAGCACAAAATTACATTGAAAACTATAGCATAGTCTATCAAAGTAAAACACAATATTTATCCCAATTTCAGTACATAAAATCCATGAATTCTAATCCTTTTTTTATGCCAACCCATTAAATGAGCTTGTTCGAGAGCTTTCGAGCTAAACATGGTATGACTCAAGTTCGGCTCGTTTAGTTAACAAGTTTGTTCGGGAGCTGGCTCGATTAATACGCATCGAGTGTCGAGCGAGTTTTTCTCGAGGCGGCTTGGTTCATTAACAGCCCTACAGTTGAGGCACAGAAGCCCATATACTTTAGATATAGGGAAAAACTATCTAGCATTCACAACTTATAAGGGATACAGTTTATCGATTGGGGCACAGCTTCCAAGTTCTATACACAAGAGGGCGATTAAGAAGAGAGACAACACCAAAAGGATAATGAAAGGGCAAAATGCAACAAGAGAAATAAGAAAGAAAAGGCAGAGAAATCCGACCCGATATATTCATACATTCGTAAGAAAAAAGACCGGTGAATGGCGAAGTCCACTAATACTGATGATATCATAAACGCTTCGTCTCCTGTCTGTTATAACCTATCGACCATCAATCTGGCATTAGGGAAGCATAATTTCTTTCATACGGATAGCTGCTAAGGGTCTCTTCATGTGCCCCTTCCCCCTTTAACTATACACGCTCAAGGTCGACCAACTCGCCCTGCCCACCAGAGGAGAATGTGCAATTCTTGGACCAGCTACACCACAAAAAAGGTTCCAATGGTGGTTTGACCAAGAACCCTAGAGCTTCGATCAAGGCCATGAGAAGCAACCTAAACAGTACATGCCATCCAGGACAAAAGGAGTGTCAAATACTCATGCCCACAGCTACAAAAGGAGCAAAATTGAGAAAAGCTCATTCAGTGAATGCTTACCATTTGACTTAATGCAGCATAACGCTCCTCGTTAAGGTACAGAGGCTTTCCTCTCTGCATCTCTACATCCTGCAAGGGGCCAGTCAATCATTACACAAAACAAGGAAGCAAGTGTCAGGAAGACTGAAAACAGAGCCTATTATATAACTACATATATGAGCAAGGGTTCACCTCTTCACCAAAAGCATCCAAGTATGGGGAAGGCCAAGGAGCTTGCCGAGCACATCTTTGTAAGAGAATTGTTGTTCTCTGCAATAACACACTCAATCAGTAGTACCATAAAAAAATCAGTGCATGAGAGCACAATCAGGTCACCGAACAGAGGTCCTTACCTTAATCAGTAGGAATACACCTGTACCAGCACCACAAGTCGCTGCATGAATTTGGGTTTTGGTCTCACTTCATGACAACGTAACATAGGCATTGTCAGACAAACAACCCTAAAACAGCGTAATTCAAGAGCAAATAAAAACCGAAAGAGGAAATGTTTTCAAAAACTAAACCACCTGCAGCATGTCTTCCAGTTTGGAGAGCATAATCTACCACAAAGCAAACAAAGTGCAGGCTCCTCAAGAACAACACTCTTGCAGGTAGCACAAGTCTGTTTAATGTACCTGATAGAAAAATTGATCATTCAAAGTTATTTTCTTCTGAAATTCCCCTGAATTTGAAGAAGTTTAAGAGTTAATAAGGCAGAACAAACCTCTGCAGCAGATCCTGGTAAACACGAGGGAGGTGCATTAACCTAAATGGCACTGCAGGTGCCAAATGTAGATTGCCCTTAAAGCTTCGTGTTCTGTAGTCAAAGCAGAAATGATTGCACCACTTCATAGCTATATCTCGAAGAGCATGATCTTTTAGAATAATATCCAACGGTGGAATCTTGAATAGCTTTTCCAAATTTTCAACTTCATTGATCTCAGCAAAGTCGGTCTCCATGTCTGCTACCTGGTCGACATGATTAGAGAATAATCTCTCCTCCCTACTGCAGAATGGTGCTGAGACAGAAGTCCTCAGTAACTTCCACAGTAATGCACATCTCCTCAAAAAGGGGAAACTCAATCTACGAATAACAACCATGATGTCACCAGACGAATCTACACCGGTCGAAACAAAATATTGCCGTACCCATCCAGACTCCCTTAGAATGTTGAGTATGTCGGTTATCAGGGAATCACCATAGTCCAAGCCATCATATTTGGAGTCTTTTAATCCGCAATATGTAATTATTGCCTGCACTCCAAACAAAAGGAGATAAGCAAAACCATCCATTGAGAAGTAGGAAAAAAAAAAGGAGTTTCTCTGAGTATAAGGAGTAGTGGAAGAAGTTTGTCAACTAAGAAGCACACCTGAATCACAGCAACAGAATAGAAGACATGTACTAGGTACAGCAGTGAGTCTTCACAAGAGAAAAATTGTTGTGGAAGACAAAACAGAACCCACATTAAAGATGAGAAAGGATCATGAGCAATAATGGGATCAGCTGCTCGATTCCAGAATGGAACATCAGGAAATAATACTTCTTTATCAAGTTGCTTCCATAATAAGTCACCTATTAAGAAAATAAAAACACAAATTAACTAAAACTGAAAAGAATATAAGAGGGGAAAAAAAAAAGAATATAAGAGTGTAAAGTATAGATGGTAGTTTTATATGCGAACAAAATTTCCTTAAGTTGTCCTCGTACATATTACAAGCTTTGTGAGTGCAGTATACAAGAGTGAAAGTGAAGAATCAATCAAGGTAGGGCATATAGAGGTTTTTATTTCATGGTCTTGCACTAGTTATTGTTTTGTTCTCAAGTATCAATCTGAGGTACCATAATAAAACATATTTTTAAGGCCACACAAGCAAAACCTAGCAGCCACTTGTACTTAGATGTGGTTAGTTGAATAAAGGTAAAAGAACTCCAATCCAACAGTAACTCACCTGCATGTCGTTCGGTGCTGTCACCAGATTTCTTGAAGGCACCCAAGCAAATAGAGTCTCCAAAGAGCTGAATGCCTCTGTATCTTTGAAGTACACGAAGGACATTATTACTACGCACAAATTGCACAATCTTCAGCAGCATCGATAATGTAAACCCACTAGACGAATTGAGTTCCTTATATAAGGAGTCAAGGGTATATGTTGGCATAGTAGACTCTTTTCCAGAACGAGCTGAAATCTCCATAGTAATGAGAGAGTACTTCAGTGTGTCCCACATGATCATAGACTCATTTACCCCTGATGTTCCTAAGAACTTCTCCTGTCTGTTTGGGAAATACAATTTACAGAGCATTCGACAGACAAAGTCCAGATTTGGCGCGGCCCTTCTGTTTATGTTCAGTGGAACAGTTCTCAAGATATTTCTATTTCGACTAATGTTTGCAGCAGATTGCAAGAGAGCAAATCCTTTCATTAGCAAAAATGCCTCCCTATCGTTTGATAAATTGACAGGTGAAACCATGGGCTTCCCACCCTTCCGGAAATTTCCAGGAAAGGAAGGCAAAACAGAGTTTGCAAGCCGGCGGCAGACAGGGCACAGAAATTCTCCCTGCAAGAAAGAAAAGAGTCATATACAGGAGCACCAACCGCATATACCCATCAAAAGATATTACCTTATCTGGGTTAACAATATGCCCTCCTTCAATTGCAATTCTCCTAATGTACCTGAGCAACAGCACTAAGAATAAGAGAAAGGAGATGTGTTGATCAAGACTGAAACCAATATGCATAAGATTTTCCAGCGCACCTCTCCCTTAATGATGATAAATATCGATCAAGACATGACTGATGCACTGCATGGCCACAGGAAGACAAATGGATCCCATCACAACCTACCGGGCCAAATCCATCATATGCAGAAGGTTGTGAAGTAGATTCCCCCTGCATCTCATCATGATGGGCACTTTCAGAAGGTGATGGCTGTTCAATCATTTCAGAAGAAAGTGCAGCCACATATTTGCCAATGAACAGTGAGTCAGTGATCTTGTAGTCATTTGGCTGATCTCCATCTGCATGAGAATAATCATTTGCCATTCCCAACTCAAGACTGGATTCTAGAACTTCCTTTCTGATGGACAAATACAAGTCGTCTTCCCACATCTCAAGGGTGTAAATGTTCTCATCATTCCCATCCTTGAATGTCCAGGAAACTTCAGCATTTTCTAGTGACGGGAATTGAGACTTCAGGATTTTCAAAACATTGTTAACTTCCCCAGGTTTCCCATAACGAGAGAACTCATTTACAATATTCTGTACAAACTGCAACAACTGAGAGGATGCTGAAGCATTGGAGGAGGTAACTCCAGATTGACCTGTCACTTTATTGATTTCTGACAAATGCTCTATATCCAACTGCCAAGCTTTATCCCATGAGGGTGTCCCTCTATTGATAATGCTCAAAAGCCTTGATTTCTTCAATCAAGCACAATAAATTGGAATGGAAGTATCAAAGTTAAGATCACAGGCAACAGAATGTCTAAATTATACGAGCAAGAAAACCCAACTGTATCACTTAAAATGATGTAAACAGATGATTGCTTACCTGAAGAAGAACCAAGAAAGATAAGGGATCCTTGGAGTCAGGATCATGACAAAGAGAGCAAACATCCTGCGCCAGATCTTTGAAGTAGTGTTCACCATCAGAGTTGCTTTCTTCCGATTCAGATTTTGAATCATCAAGGATGGTAGAATTAATGCTTGACAAGAACTTGGATTGCTCCGCCTTCATTTTTGCCTACCGTAAAGAACAAGAAAGCCATTATCAGCTTTATGTGATCTATCATGTTACTTTCTTGTACATTAGTAATCTACACTGCATCCTGATGTTTTGTCTTAAGGGAAGGGAGTGTGCATCTTACCATTATAGCGGCCTGTTGCTCTCGAGCTTTGGCTTTCCGTTTCTCATGGTCAGATTCTAAGTTTGGCATATTTGTGTCGCACAGTTGCATTGGCTGTGAAAACTGAACAACCACTTCAGGTGCAAGCTGTTGAAGTAATGTCATGCATCTGCAATCCATCTCGGCAAATCTCTTCAGAATATTGTCAATCAGAGAAGCAATGTCACAACTGTCAGCTTGAAAGAAGCCATTTAAGTTCTCTCGTCTGTTCATCCTCATTAGTGAGACAAGAAGTGAAAGTAAACTCTGTTCGCCAGCATCATAAAGTACGGAATCATTGACTGCTTCACCAGAAAATTTAATTAAGGGGATGGGATCTCCCAAGTCCGATAATGTGTCCTTTGATACAGTCAGCTGACAACAGGCATCCAATGACAACATCAGTAAATGCAGCGCAGCCAAAAGAACACCGTCTGGAGCGCGATTCTCTTTTATCTTATCAGAAAATACAGCATAAAATAACACAGCACGGATGATTTGAAGGACAACTTTACAGGTACCAACTCTGGCCACGCCCTGGAGAGGAGGATAGATCTTTTTCCATCTGGGTAACTGAGTAGTCAATGCAGAGACATTACAATAGCGCAAGTATCTTTCTTCAGCAACTTGCAACTCTCTTGAGCTCCACCGAGGATGGTACAGGTCTAACTCTTTCCAGAACGAAGAACGCAGAGAATACATACCCTATAAATGCAAAGTGTAAGAATACTTTAAACAAACAATAGCATAAACTTTCAGGTTTTGGTAGAAAAGAAACCTGATTAACACCGGATGGATTAGAATACACAGCAACTGCATCTAGGATCTCCTGAAGCTGGTCAGACTTGGAGAGGTCACGGGGCAAAGACTTCACCAGTTGACTGTGAGTGGCATCTCCGATGGCTAACCTATGAACCAACTCTCTTTTCAGATTCTCAGCGGTAGTCAGCCCAGAAAAATGTCTTTCTTGGATAATTTGTATGATAAGAGTCAGCATAGATTGCACCAAGACAGGTTCATACCTGAAAAGAAAACATAAAATGACTCGGAAGTTTAGTTTTGAAATGTGGGCTACGTAACAAAAGAGAGGCATTCACGAACAAGGTTGACGAAGAATATGTGAATATCAATTCTGGTGCTCTTGATGATTGAGGTTCATGAAACATGTGAATATCAATTCTGGAGTACCAAAGTTAACAATCATAATGCATCTGCCGTGTTTCACTAAGTGACTGAATCTCGAATCGACAAAACAAAAGATGTGAAAAAATAAGATATGCGATCCCAGTGAAGTTTTACGTACTCGTTCGACATTTCAGGATTCAAAGATAAGTATTCTGACAGACCAAATCGCTCAACTATTCTGGTAACAAAAAAGTCAGCGGGGGCCAACGCAGCACAGCACTGAAGAAGAAATAGATCAAGTTCCAGACCCTGCTCAGACCTACAATAAAACAACCAGGACTTCTCATAAGTGGAAACGAACTTTAAATTATTAAAGCAAGATCGCTTCAATGAAAGAAAAAAAATCCCCAAACTCTTAAGAAACAGTACCTACCAGCGAACTGATCGATACCACTCACAGGACATAATAGCAGCATCACCATTCTTCCTCCACATTCCAGCCTGAACTTGGGCACAGAATACCCTGTTACGCAAAGGATGCTCCATAACAAAGGCAGAGAAACCAAAGGGGTGGTAGCCCCTAAGGACAGACCCAAAGAAATCTTTGGGGATTGCAGATGCCATAAGGTTACCCACATCAGACTCACCATATGACCTTCTCAGCGATCTTTTCAAAAGGAGGGCAAGTAACCGATGTAAATAAATGTGAACTGACACAGGCTGCGAACTAACATCAAAAACTATGTTAGGCCACTCTGATGAACTGAGAACCCGCAGAGCATCTAAATCCGACGAACCATTTCCTCCAATAGGACTATCAAGACCTGCAGAATCAGGACTTGCTCTACAGTTCAGGGCAGTACCCCTAACATCTTCCAAGTCTGCAGTCATGAGACTATGTGTAGGAGAACCACCGTGCCTATTTCTATCCTCACTTGAACTAAGTCCAAAAATATACTTACCTCTCTTAATCTTAGATAATGTTCTTTTCAAAGCTACAAAGTTGCTGTCAGCAATACCGCTAGCATTCTGAGATATTAGAGAGCTTGAAGAATTATCAGCCTCCAGCCAGCTCTCGATTGCTTTCAAACACTCATGGGACATCCATGTGACAGCTGAAGGAATAGGAGAATGAGAGACAGAGTCCAATTCGATATTATCGTGCGTTGCTGACGAACCACTTGAAGAGTTCCTCCCGGTTGCACTAGATACAGAACTTTCCTGCAGTAGCCTTCCCACTTTCGCATGCCTAAGGCTATCTCCTTCATCCACATCATGTGCATTCATCTTTGAAAAGAAATCTTCATCAGCCTCTTCGTTGCCAGTAAATGCTCCACCCACTAAAAGGGAATGAATGTTTGCAATAGAATGGCCCAAACAAAAAGATAAGTTTGCATTGTCACCATCTTCTTCTACATGGATGCCAGTTTCTCTCTTTAGAGAACTCATTCCTTGCAAGAAAGACAAAAGTTGCATCCAAGTTCTCAGGATGTCTCTCCGTTCATAGGTTACGTACTTTGGGACAACGCTGTGGCTCATAACAAAACGAATATCGTCGACCACACGAATGGTAATCTCGTACAGGTTTCCCCACTTGGAGATCTGCAAAATGAAGAGACTTGAAACATCAATTGTAAGGTCGAAACAATTATTAAATACAAACATAACAGAGGAGCTTCCAAAGAGCTCAAGTAAGTTGATAAGAGTACAACATCACCACCAATCATAATACAACCCTGAAGACATACAGATCAACAAATATCCACGTAAAGTCGTAAATGCAGCATTTAGTTCCTAATGTTGAGACGAAACCAAATGGCATGAAATTCAGAGGCAAATGGATGTCAGGTACCTGTAGACAGCCATCCTCTCCAGCACAATGAGAAAAAATGTCCCTCAAGCACCGCAGCAGTATAGCAAGAAGGTTCATCTCCTTTACAAGTCGAGGGGTTAGAGTGGGCACTGTAAAGATCTGAACAGAGAATTTCGATAATAGTGGATACTTCTTGAGACCATTCTCTGTGCCATCTTTAATTACTTCATTTACAACAAACGGGTAATAGCTGAGAAATACTTTGGCAAACTCATATTTGAAGGTGGGCTCTCCTAATAATTTAAGAAGCAATTCATGAAGCTTCCTTGAAACACTCTCACCCAATGAACTCTCTGACCTTACTAGGATCTCCAACAAGCCATCCAAAGCAGTCACCCTTCTGGAAACAAAACTAAGCAAACTTTCACTGTACTTGCAGAAGTCTAGCAGCATCTCAACCACCCAATTCGTTAGCTCAGTAGCATACTTAATGCAAACGGTCAGACGATCACTGGAGTTCTCCTGGGAGATACACTGCACAACAATTAACTTATTCTTCCAGAACCCAAGCAAGGCATCAAGTACTGGTCCTACAGAGGTAGCATACTCCTGTGGAAGGGTCTGTATCTGTTCAGCACCTTTATGTGTAGTGCAAAATCCCTCCCGTTTCCAAGCGGTTGCATCTCCACAATCACAACAACCTCCACCAGTATAGATTATTGAATAATCATGATCCTCGTGTTTACCATTTTGAAAACACGGAACACAAATGGCACAAGTTGGATCATGTTCACAAGTACGGCACCTATAGGCTATATCATTAGTACCCCAAACAGCCCCACAGACACCACGTCCTGAACTCAACCTAGACAAGTTTAATAGGGCAACAGCAGGGTCGCCCAAGAACATCAGCCACTGCAACCAATTCGTGCATTCCTTAAAACGATTTCTCATTGTCGGGCTCACTACCTTCTTCGAACCGGCCTTGGATTTTTGAACTATCTCCTCCACTTCCTCATCAGTGGGCAAGATAGCAGACACTAAGCTCGCTAAACGCGGCCGTTTATCAGCCACAAACGCCACTAAACCAGGGAACAGCTTCTTCAGATTCTCGTCAGGCACACCAAACTGCGCAAGCCTCTGTTACCGGAGAAGAGAAAAAAGAATATCCAAATTCAGAACAAAATCAAACCAAAAACGAAGCAATCCGATACTAATTTCAAGCTCACGGAACAGCAACTACAACAGATTAGGGACGAGAAATGGAAGAAGGAAAGAGTAGAAATGATTGACCTCGACAACCCTATAACGAGGGTTGAGCGGGATAGGATCAGGAGGCGAATCGACTTCCATGTCGCCGTCGCGGAGAGGAGAATGACGAAAGCGCAAGAGCCAATCCAGGCAGCAGAAGCGCAAACACCGCCTCAACCCAGAGCTATCACTTTCCAGTTTCGCCTTTGCACTAATTTCGTGCAGATGCTTCGATTTCGCTCAAACCAGTAACCGCCTCCGTTTCGCCGCACGGGCATAGGCTATAGTAGTTGGCTAGCTAGCGAAGCCAGCGCCGGTCTTACTCGTGGCGTGGTGGTTTGGGATTTCCTTGTTCACATTTTGTCATTTTTTACGGTTACGTGGTATCCGTAGATCGTGAAAACTTGTTGGGTAAATTACAAGTTTTGTCACTAAAATTATTTAACCTTTGCCATTAAAATTATTTTATTTCATCCCTTGTTAATTAAATTGGTTCAACGGTTCAAGGCACTCTCTATTAGTCTCAATTAAATTTTTCTGGCGTGGCAGTCAACTTTAATAGTTGACTATTAAATGAGTAACATGGCAATTAAAAAATAATAAAAATTAATATTTTACTTTTCATATCAATCATGGCCTGATTTCGGACCCTAACCCAAACGTCTGCCATCGCCAAATCTTGGTCGCCTTGCCTTCGCCACTCAAAACCATACCCACCGTCGGTGTAGCGTTTGAGTCTCTTCTGCTTACCTCGCATGGAAACTTCAGCACAGGCATCGCTGCCTCCCTGTCGTCGACAATTGTCCTTTGCCGCTTCTATTGCAGTCTCCGACCTACTGCAGAGACTTGGGCCCACTAGAGGCTGCGAGAAGCCGAGGGTAGTGGTACTGGGATTCGAAGGGGTCGGTTGATGAATGGAATCGATACAGCATCTACAACGTTGTATGCGTTTCACCGAGGAATCGCATGGTTTTCATGCCTCTCTTGGCCTCCACTTGCATCGGGACCCTAAACTTTAAGTCGATTGTTGAGCCTGTGGGGCGAAACCATTGCTAGGGAACCCCGATCCTATTTCTTTCTCACCAATTGCAAGGGAATCGACGCTAAGAGTCGGGATGTCGATTGGTGTTGACTGACAAGAGTTAGGGTCGGATTCTTTATGGTAAGAATTCCTGGGGAAACGGAATGGAGAGCTTGGTAATGTCGGGGCAGAGAACCGTTACTTTGGTGGCCAGGAAGGATGGATCGTCCTCGTCGGCATCAACGGAGATTTTCGTTGCCTCCTGACTCACCACAGATACACCACGATTTAAACCCTAACTAGAGCTCAAGCATAAACTCTAGCCGTGTGCATTATAGGGCATATATGTTTTAATTGTCAAACCTGGGCGGGTCCATGTACCCCTACTTCAATTGCTTAGTTTGTTATCTAGCAAATGTTTTTGGGTTTAAAGCTAAGAATACTACAAATGAAAACAAGCAAGTAAAGTAAATCGAGGTTGTCCCAATGAGAGAAGAGTTCACCCGGGCAAGATTCAAAAAGGCGTTAGGCGCAAGGCGAGTGCTCGTCTCCTCACTTGAGCGTTGCCTAATTAAGCGTAGTCTAGACATGCCTAGGCATTAAGAGCGTAAATGTAAAAAATTCTCAAATGTTTCTTGTTTTCTAGAATACTTCATATGATCCAAGTTCATATAAAATTAGAAATAGCTAGTTCTCAACAGTTGACACTTAACATAACAAATAACAAACAAGTAGTGACAGTTTGTAGAATCACAAACTGATAAAATGTTGAAATACTAAACAATAGTCAATAAGCACATAGGAAAAATTTCATTCTTCATCATCCAAAAAAGTCCTTCCAGACACCACTTCATCTTCATCATCCTCAATAGCAGGATGACACTAAACTCCCTTTCACAACCAGCAGGCAAGTTCAGTAGACACTAGACACTAGTTAAAACTTCGTATGTGTTGTTTAACCCATCACTATACACGAATTAACTTATCCCATAACCAAATAATGCTCTAACAACTTGCATGGATGGCCACTATCATTGGTCAAAGGACTTGATTCTTTGCATGCTTTTCATTTAATTTATAGTTTATAACCCACAGCCTATGCTAGCTAGTTGATGCATGCTGACGAAGAAGTAAGCATTTTATTTGTTATTGATTTCTCAAAATTAGCTTCACCATTTGAATTCAGATAACGAAAGCTAAAAACAATCGATCTTGTTCAGATAGTTGGGAGCAAAAAAGAAGAAGCATCACAAATCTGGTGGTGAAAATGAAGTGAAATTTGGGGACGTGGATGAAGGACGAGGCATATTGATTTTCTCTCCTAGTCCTAGGGCACTAGCAGGTCACAAGTGGGGGATCAGGGAAGCGACAGGCGAAATGCAATTCATTGCGGTCCGAGGAAGGGATTTGATGACCCACGCCTAGGTCCGCTAAATAACGCCTAGGGCCGCATTAACACAGATTAGTTGACAATTAATATGCATCAAGCGCAAATAGCTTTTTTATCTGCGCCAATGCCCAAATGAAGGCGTTTTTTCACCGTCGAGCGCCTTTTCAAGCCTAGGTGTGCGCCTTGGCGCTCCTTCTTGAAGGTTGCAACCGGGTATTGCTCTCCATAGCTACATATCAAGATGGCCCAAATTGAATGCAAATGTGTGAAGGTGTGTTATACACCGTAGGAAGGTGCAACAACTGAAGGAAACCTCACTCTCTTAATCAATCGGTTAAGGAAAACAATTAAGCTAGGAACCTTAGCTCTCTCAATCAATGGATTAAGGATTGGTACAATAAACTAGGGAGTCAAGCTCTCTTCACCTTTCGGCTAAGGATTTGAACAGTAAGCCAAGAGCGCTAGCTCTCTTAACCGATAAAACTAAGGGTTGCAAGACTAATTCCTTGGAACTTAATCTGGATGGCAAAGTAACACACAAGTTAAAGTGCTAAATCGAAGTTTGAGGTTTGCCCTAATTTTCCCTAGGTAGGTGACTCAATTGGCCAAGGAATCCAGCTTATCAAAGCCTCCTAACAAAAAGGGGAATTCCCTCTACCTAGGTCAAATTGGTATAGTAATGCGAAATGAAGAACACAACCCAAACATCATGAAAATACCTCAAACTTTGCATTAAACACAAACGCACACACAAAGCATTCAATTAGTACAATCTATCACATATTTCAAGCTAGGGTTCACAACACCCAAGTCAATAGGTAGGCTATTCCATAACTAGGCAAAGGAAAACAAGAAAGAGGAGAGAGAATCATGAAGAGATGACAATCCTCCTTCCTTCTTGCTTGAATCTCCCTTGAGAGGTAAGAATATCCACTCCTCTAGCTTGGGGAAAGCTCATTCTCCTTCTTCCTCCTTTGAATGGCGCTTTCTCTCTCTAGAATAGGAAGAGGAAACTGTAATCTCTCCCTAAAACCCCCTTTTATTCTGAAAACTAAAACCCTGCCAAAAAGATCTCTTACTTTTTCCTTCTGTTGCAGACTTTGTCTGCAGAAATCAGCTCGAACATGATCGTGTCCTCTGGTCGTGTTATATCCCAAGTGCGCTGCATTTTGCCGTCTGCAAGAAAAACCATAACACGGCCAGTGAACACGGGCGTGTTCAGGCCGTGTTCTTCAAAACTCGACAAGACGCTCCGTTTTTGCCCGACTTCACGACCTCTTCACTGACTATCACGGTCTGAGTGACCGTGATAATCTTCAATGCCAGTGAGAAGGCAAAAGCCTCTGGAACTCAGCTGCGGACACGGCCTATGAACACGGGCGTGTTCAGGTCGTATTCCTCAACTGGAAAGAATCTTGTAGCGCCTAAAACGCTGTCGTGTCCAGGCTGAAGGTGCTGAACACGGTCATGTCCCTGGCAGTGTTCTCTCTGTTTTCTTCATTTCTTGCCATTCTTGCCTCCATTGGTTCCGAAACTCTTCCTCGACCTTCCACACGTGTTAGGACCTAAAATGAATCAACAATAGCACAAGCTAGCATAAAATAGGTTGAGAGACAACGAAATGCAAAGTCAAACTATCAAGAAATGAGAGGTAAAATGTGTATAATTGGACCCGAATCACACCCCAACACTTGAACGTTTGCTTGTCCCCAAGCAAACCAATCTCAAACAAGGTAATTGTCTTGGACATGGGGAAAAGGCCTTTTGTACATTTAACGAACAATGCTCTTTATTAAGATCTTTCCTCCAACGCTACCTTTTCATTCCTAGCAAGAACCGTACAAAATCCACCTATGTAGAACATCAATGGAGCTCAAAAGCGAGAACTGTGAGACACAAGGATGACTCACAACAGTTTAGACACGAAGAAAGGAAAAGGGTCAGTCTATCAATCACCATTAACCACAAAAAACCACAAGCTCCTAAGATGAGAACAACCCAAGGTCACACGGCTCAAAGAGGTTGACTAGGGGATAAACGTTTTCGGGACAATCAACTTTTGGTCGTGGACTAATCCTATACCTCCATCATACTCATTAGTGACAATGGTGAATGTTACACACCATGGCGAGAGGGATCTATCACACATGAAAAAGATGATCGATACAAAACTCACACGACTACCTAGCCACCCAATCATTTATTGCAATTTCACAAAATTCAATGCATGGCAATTGTAATCAAGGAGTAATCAAGTCAAGACATCCATTCATTTCCGCACAGATGAGAACTAAACATTTGCACTATCCTAATGCAATTTTCAATCATCATAATAGGATACACTCGATCCCAAGAAAACAATCCAAGGTCAGAGCCAATAGACACGAAATTCTCCCACAAACCGGCCACTTTAATCATGCAATGCTTGGAGCCCTCAAATTTTTTAAAATTTGGGCATACATCAAGGCTCCAAGCAATCAATCTCACACACAAGCATAATACATAGACTACCCCCCACACGACATTGCCCTCGATGGCGTAAAATAAGGGGTAGGACGATGTTACTGCATAGCTTGGCGAGTGAAAGTCGGGACCGAATTGGGCCGGAGATGAAGAGGAGAGATCTTCAAGGAGACCAAAACAAAGACAAACACACACATGCTTGCGCAAGACGAGGTTATTTCACAATAATAATACTTTAACAAAAAAAAAACAACAACAAACCTATGTTGGGTTGCCTCCCAACAAGCGCTACTTTAACGTCATAAGCTAGACGATTGCTCCTTAAGCTTTGGTCCATCCGAGAACCTCCTTGAAGTTGAGATTCTCGTCCATGAGATGAAGTCACAAGCCACGAGCATTAGACGAATCCATGATTGAGAGCTCGTGAACTTGATCGGCTTTGAGGCTCCACCCATGAGACCTCTTCTTCTTCTTTCTCTTTGCCCCGCACCATGTAGTCCATCACTGATTGACTTCCATTTCATCCGCCAAGAGGGATCTCCGATGGTTTGGCCTTGGTTTGGCAAAGAGCCGTAAATGGGTCCTTCTCCGAAAGTGCATCGAGGTCGGGTGGAAAGCTTTCATAGCACTTGTAACTTGTGGATGCTTCATCCACCTCGACCTCGTCCTCATCTTGGACACCATTTTCTCCTTCTTTTTCTTCCTCAACCTCCCTTCCTTCTTCTTCACTTTCCTCCCCTTGGGAATACTCTAGATCTTCCTCCTCTTCAAACTCTTCTCTCGCCTTCCCATTCATGTCTTCAAAGTTGTTCTCGGGAAGGTGATCAATGAAACCTTCTTGGTCATCCTCAACACAAGAGCTATCTGGGGTGAGTTCCTCTTTCTCCACATGGTTGTCATTGATCACCCCTTCAACCTCCTCTTGCTCTTTCAAATGTCGAGGCGGTGGTGCGCACAAGCCCGTGCCACCTTCTCTTCTAGTGTTAAATCCGGAGGAGGGAGGGGTTGGAAATCCATGTCGTAGCTCGTTCTTCCAAATTTCTCATGGCTTGCCTTTCCGACTTCCTCTCATCCTTCAAATGATAGGAGGCGATTGTGAGCAAGTTGTTCACATGCTTTCTCAACAAGCCCTCTTAGCCTCTCTGTGTGTTGAATGAGCTTCTCTGATTCTCGTAGAAAGGTTGATTAAAAGGGGTTGTCAATTGGGAGATCCATGCTAGAGCACCCTTCATCGGCGCCCCGGGACAAATCGCTCCACCATGAGCTCTAATTCGCATTTTGGCTCCGGTTGTGGAGCGGCACATGGTCTTAAGGTTTGTCCCATGAAAGCCTCCATGGCCATCTCCAACTTGGATATCTCCTCGAGTTGTGGAGGGAAATCCTATTGACATGGGGAAGCTACTTGGTATTCCCATGAGCATGGTTGCTCTTTGACTCGCACGAAACTACGCCATAATAAAATCCCAACTAGAGCCCAAGTTTTTAAACTCTAACCTGGTGCAGTATAGGGCAAGTATTTAGATATCGACCGGGGCGGTCCGTCTACCCCTACTTTAGTTATTGAAGTCATTATCTAGCAACAAAACTTTGGTTTAAAGGTTTGATAATTGAAATGAAAGAAAGCAAAGGTAATTTGGTTTGAAAACTCTTTTGTGGGAAAGTCACTCGGGTGTGGCTTTCCCCTAACCGCTACCATGCTATGTGGATTGGAACGATTGCCTTGGGCACGGTAATCGTGAACCGCAGAGGAATGCATATGTGGTCGGAGACCACAGTCTCAATTGCTAAACCAAGGTAAAAGGATGAAAGGTCGTGTCACTCGACCCTCTCTCTTTAGACAATCGGTAATTGACTTACTCCCTCACTCAACTCTAAGGTCGGACGGTTTAATCACGATTAATCGACTTGCTTAACTCAATATTGATGGTCGCCCTAACTTAACCTAGTTTAGGTGGCTTTGAAAGCGGAATGAAAACCAACTCGATTGAGTCTCCCTCGATTCACAGTCTTGCACGACCGTGAACTCCCTCAGTAAGCCGAGAACTGACTCTTTTTCACCTCTTCTCCTGGTTTTTGATCCTTTTTGCCAATCTTTCGACTCCGAGACTGGTTTCACCTGTTAAATCATGAAACACACTCAAACACAAAGAACCTAGCGTAAAACCAACCTTTTAGGAGAAAATTTTGCATAAACATCTAAGTAAAATGGGGGCAAAACATGTGCAATTAGGCCTGAATCACTCTTCTTGGAAAGGAGGATGGTAGTACAACCCACATCCTTGACTTCCCCCATTTTGATCATCCCATGAAGTTCCGAGGTAACCACTCTCTGGTGGTGGTGGATACCCCCACACTTGGGTGAAATGATAAGGATCCATGATCCAATACCTACAAACTAAAAAACACTAAAAAGGAAAATTAAACACACACAAACCACCCTTCAAGACGAAGAGTGGGTCAATAAACACAAAACGAAACAAAAGATAAGATAGAAAATGCTAGATTAACAATAAGCGACTTTTTCAAAAATAATGGCCCGTTATTCCCCGGAAACGGCGCCAAAAACTTGACTCACCATGGATACACCGTGATTTAAATCCCGACTAGAACTCAAGCATAAACTCTAGCGAGGTGCAGTATAGGGCAAGTATGTTTTAATTGTCAAACCCGAGCCGGTCCATTTACCCCTACTTTAATCGCTTAGTTTGTTATCTAGCAAACATTTTTTGGTTTAAAGTACAAATGATAACAAGCAAGTAAAGTAAATCGAGGTTGTCCCAATGAGAGAAGAGTTCACCCGGGTATTGCTTCCCCTAGATGCATATCAAGATCGCCCAAATCGAATGCAAATGTGTGGAGGTGTGTTAATACACCGTAGGTGATAAGCTCCAGACCTCCAAGATTCTAATCCAATCGTGCAATTCCTCAAGAACTTCAGCAGGGAGAGTAAAGAAAGAACAGGTAAACGGACGTGGAAGGTGCAACTTCAACACCGAGTTCCGGGGAAGAGGCTCGATTCAACGATGGTGCAACTCATCCACGATTGATGTGGTGAATCAATCAATGCTGAGCTCGCTCGTTGATGGACTTGAATCCATGCAACAATGACAAATCAAAGAGTTTGAAAGACTCGATAAACTAGGGTTCTTATTAACTTCAAAACTGAATTCTTACAACGCAAACAAAGAGTACTTATATAGCTAGCTAATAACTCGAATAAAAACTCCCTTATCCTACCGGAACTGGACAAAACAAGGCTTAAACAGAAAATGAATAAAACTTCAACTCAAACAAGGAAACATTGAACAATCCTGCCTTAAGCTCCACGTCACAGACAACCATCAATACCACTTTGAGGCTCTGGAACGACGACTTCCAAGTACTCCACAGATCACCCAATGCCTCTCCTCTGTAGAGTGAAATACATAGTTTCACGTGGCATGAAGCTTCGCCCTCGAATCGGCACCATCTTTCCGGAGTGAAGCTTCAAAGTAGATCCACTGCTCACCGTTTGGCACTTAGGCAATTCCTGCAATTTCCCCAGTGTTGAGCTACCATCTTGTCATGCCTTGAAACTGTAATTCCAGGCTTCCCTTCGAGCTACCAACTGCTCTAGCTTGTAGAGGAGAATCCCCATTTCACATCCATACCTTAACCTTCCATTTCCACCATCCCAATCGACCTCACCAAGCTTCCAAAGTACCCTAGTCAAATTCATCAAATGCCTTAGCCAAAATTCCTGCTTGTGCACAATGGTTGCGTTAGCTTGTTCAAATATGAATTCTGACTTGGTAATGAAGTAAATGATGACTCGATATTTGCACATGTTTTCCCCTTTGTTTCTTGATCGTTTAAGCTTGCATTATCGCTTCTTTGGCCTATTTTACGCTAGGTTGTGTTCCTTTGTCACATTTCAGGCCCTAGCAAATAAAGTGAAGCATAGACGCAAGTTTCAAGTCAATCAGAGATCAATTGGCGATTAGGGAGAAGAAACACGAGCATGACCTGAAGAAGAATGGATTTCTACCTCAATTTATGGACAAAGAATCATGGAAGTTTGTTATGAAAAGAAAGAGGACAAGACTACGAGCGTCTGGGTTCAAACGGAGACTGATTCGGAGTCCGGACGAGGGAGAAACGAAGCTTTGAACAGGGGTGGAGGAAGAATTACGGGCAGGAGAATTACGACCGTAATTTACCCTCCCATGCCCGTAATTTCACTGCCGAGAGGAGCTTTGGGTGCGCTGAAACTTAACCAAAACGCGTGTTTTGGGCAAAATACGGGCATGGAAGAATTACGACCGTAATTCAGCCCGTAATTCGCCCAGAATCGGGTTTTTGAGGCAGATTAGAGCCAAAGGAAAGAGAGAGCTGGGTTTTGGATCCCAAACACCCAAGGGACGAACCCTAGAGAGAGAGCGACTTGGGAACATTCTTGGAGCTATTTTGGAGGATTTCTTCGCCATTGGAGCTCGGGAATCAAGCTTGGAGATGGAGATTGAAGATCTAGATCAGATTTCTGCAGTCTCTCTCTTCTCTATGGAGTAACTTCCCTTCACTTAGGTTTTGAGGAACCCTATTTCCATGAGTTAGGATCTTTCTTGTATGAAGTTTTGGATGCTATATTGTTTGATTATAATCGAATGATGCATGTTTATTGAGTCAATTGAAGTCTGATCAACTTTTCCTGATTCCTGCTGCAATCTGAGATAGATAGAATCTGATTAGGTTGCTAGAGTCTCATCATTCGGTAGTAGGAGATTGGCTATACGAGAGTTAGTCAGTTTACTGCTTTGTACTGGAATCCAATTCCAGTAGTGGAGTTCTGTGCTTATTGCTTCAGCTTTCTATCCCGGTGAAGACTAGTCGTCTGCCGGATAGTTAGACTGAGAGGGCTTGGTCAGCTTAAGAGATTCCAAGCTACTGTCGGATCTTCCGCAGTTTAATCAACAGTAAAACAACCAAAAGGAATTACAACTTGGACCTAATTGAGGAGCTAGGGGGAATCATACCTAAGTGAGTTCCCAAACTGTAATTAGTAGTTTTACTTAGTTTAGTTAGTAGAGTAGTTTAGTTAATCAATCCTTGATCTAGTTTGCTAGATAATGAACTGAAGCTGAGTAATAGTAACTCTAGAGACCCGTGGATTCGATATTTATTACTTGTGCCACTATACTGCAGTCCCTTTCATTGGTTACACTTGGCCATTGTTAGGTGTTGTGTTTTGGCGCATCAGTAAACCAGGGTCGTATCAGTAGGAAGGCTCAACAAGTGAAAGAAACGTCACTCTCTTAATCAATCGGTTAAGGAAAACAATTAAGCTAGGAACCTTAGCTCTCTCAATCAATGGATTAAGGATTGCTACAATAAACTAGGGAGTCTAGCTCTTTTAACCTTTCGACTAATGATTGCAACAATAAGCCAAGAGTGCTAGCTCTCTTAACCTATAAAACTAAGGGTTGCAAGACCAATCCCTCGGAACTTAATCCGGACGGAAAAGTAACACCCAAGTTAAAGTGCTAAATCGAAGTTTGAGGTTTGCCCTAATTTTCCCTAGGTTGGTGACTCAATTGGCCAAGGAATCCAGCTTATCAAAGCCTCCTAACAAAAAGGGGAATTCCCTCTACCTAGGTCAGATTGGTATATTAATGAGAAATGAAGAACACAACCCAAACATCATGAAAATACCTCAAACTTTGAACTAAACACAAACCCACGCACAAAGCATTCAATTAATACAATCTATCACATATTTCAAGCTAGGGTTCACAACACCCAAGTGAATAGGTAGGCTATTCCATAGCTAGGCAAAGGAAAACAAGACAGAGGAGAGAAAGAAACATGCAGAGATGACAATCTTCCTTCCTCCTTGCTTGAATCTCCCTTGAGAGGTAAGAATCTTCACTCCTCTAGCTTAGGGCAAACCCAATCTCCTTCTTCCTCCTTTGAATGGCACTTTTTCCCTCTAGAATAGAAAGAGGAAACCCTAATCTCTGCCTAGAAAGCCCCTTTATTATGAGAACTAAAACCCTACCAAAAAGCTCTCTTACTTCTTCCTTCTGCTGCAGACTTTATAGTACGTAGAAATTAGCTCGAACACGGCCACGAACACGACCGTGTACTCTGGTCGTGTTCTATCCCAAGTGCGTTGTGGTTTCCCGTTTGCAAGAAAAACCATAACACGGCCAGTGAACACGGGCGTGTTCAGGCCGTGTTCTTCAAAACTCGACGAGACGCTCCGTTTTTGCCCGACTTCACGCCCTCTTCATTGACTATCACGGTCTGAGTGACCATGATAATATTCAATGTCGGTGAGAATGCAAAAGCCTTTGGAACTCAGCTAGGGACATGGCCTATGAACACGGGCGTGATCGTCAAATGGCAAGAATCTTTTAGCGCCTAAAACGCTACCGTGTCCAGGCTAATGGTGTTGAACACGTTGAACTAATTTAAGTGACTACAGATAGAATAAATTAAATTTAGTGGCGAACGTGAACTTTTTAAGTAACTTCAGTGACCAAACTTGTAATTTACCCCTTAAAAGTTAAAACTAGTTGTCTCGTGTGGAACCCAATTTGACAAGTGGTTTGACGTTTAATGGTTGGATCGAATTCAATCAGTTCAAATCGGTTTTAACATAATATGTGAGAAAATCTCTAATATCAAATAAATTATGCATATATTTGACATTTTTAGACCCCCAATTTTGACTAGTTTAACTCGATTTTGACTAGTTTAACCCAATTTTGACTTCTTTCCAGAATAGTCCAAGGTGAGTGTATTCCAACCATTTAGATAACCGATTTTGGCAAGACTGGGTTGAACTGACTGGTCGGATATTTTTTTGACAACCTTGCAAATGATACAACCTAATTGTTCAATAGAGAACAAAAATAATCAGATCCACTCGTAATATAAGTACTACACAGTTTAGCATTAGCTAGCACACTTCCACGATTCACATCTCACACCTTACCAGCATGTACCTTATCCATAAGGACCTGTCCACCTCCACCAGCCATAAACTAGACACCATAACATCACAATATGCAATTCAAGAAGCTCAATACAAAACATCGAAACCAAACCTGGTATACAACGACCTTCGTCGGCCACAACATTACTCGACGTGTCACATAGAACTATCCCCAGTTGCTCCATGAGAGCCTTGAGTCATTTCTCCAGCCAAGAAAATAACAAGGTCTCGCTTCTACTCACTCAACAAAGCATTCAATGCCCTACCCACAGGACCTGAGACCATTAGGGAAGATGAAGCTACCATTCCCACAAATTCCTTCACCCGCAAAGACCAACTTTTACATAGTAGGGAGATCATTAACTATATTTACTCAAATAATACAATACTAGTAATTAGCCCGCGCTCTGCCACGGGATAAGTTTGATTTTATAATCATGTGTCAATGAAATGAAAAGGCTATAAGAACAAACACATGGAAATAGCTAAATTGGTATTTGTTACCACATTAACTTAATTATGCAAAATGGGTCTACATGTTGATCCACCAATGGCCGCATAATGTAGTGTTCAGCATCCATGCATAGACACGCAGAGGTACTTTACAAAACGACCAATGGTGTCACAAAATGAGGTGGTTCAAACTGCAAAAGAGTTTCCACACAACAAAAGCATATAAGCATAAATTGTTTGATTATTCCTGCAGAGTTAGATAAGCTGGTCTATGAATGGATTGTTGCTAGTGTGCATAATCATTTGTCAAAGGCTGAGCTGTTCCATAGCGTGGCAACTCTAATGTGTGGTGCAGAAGCCGAATTCTGTTATTTCAGATCTGCCGCGGGATACGTTTGATTTGTGTAATGTAATCCGTTGTTACTATAATGCAAAGCTTGAAAGAATACACAGATGGAAACAACTATTTTGCCATATTTAATTAATGACCACCAATGTCATGACGGACCATATAACTCAACCACACACAATGGGAATACATGTTGATCCAACAATGGCCACATGCATCCACGCATGAACACACAGAGGATGACATTCTGAATTTTACAAAATGACCAAAGGAATCACAAAATAAGATCGTTCAAATTGCAAAAGAGTTTACATACGGCAAAAGCATATAAGCATAAATTGTCTGATATTGGTTGGGAGAGAGGAAAGTCAGTGAGATGGAAAAGTTGATCAAGAAAAATGCTTGTAGCATTAGATAAGCCGATTTGTGAATGGAGTGCCATAAATGTGAAGGATCATTTGTCAAAGGCTGAGCTGTTCCAGAGCTAATCACCTTCTCTGATGGAGATTTCAATGATATGGCACACTCAACCAGTCCAGCCTAGTAGCTACAGATCTGCAAGTGTAAAGGAAGGAAAAGGAATCACTAATTAGATATCCTGAAACATAAAGCAAAAAAAGCTGAGATTGAAACCTTGAAATCCCTTGAAATCCCACAATCGAAGGGTAGAAAGAAAGAAAGAAAGAGAAGGGTCAATAACTTTATGATTCCAAGAGGTGTACCATAGACAAAAATCAGTAGAGATTTTTCAGAAACCAAAGCAAATTATCTTACCATCTAACATATGCAAAACATACATACTTCTTTCTTATCGACATACAAAAAGTTGCTGCTCTTACCAAGCTTGCGCAATCAAGGGTCGCCATTCACCGGCAAAACTATAGGCTGTTTTAACTTGAATTGATGGCCACCTTCCTGAACTTGCTTTGTTTCTTGCTCAACTCCATCACAGTTGAATAGTAATTTCGAGTTTGTATGACTATATGAACTTGCTTTATGTCAGGAAGCACCACATGAGATTTATCTGAAGACGTTCAAGAAAAAGAAATCATGATGTTAGTTGACCACCCAAAATTACTGGAAGTCCACCAAAAAAGAACATGAAACGATGATCAAAACCAGCAAGATGAGTCTTAACTAATACTCATTTCTCTTGAATCATGAAAGGATACCCAAAATATGCTATTTATACCAGAGACTAAGTACCAACACTAATTTTGACTACTGTTATGAACTGATGGAAAATCCATCTTATACATAACAATAACAAATAACTATGGAATAGTTCGAAATCGATAGATTACATGTTGGAAGCTTATGAGTTAATATTTACCAATGAAAGGAGGAAAGTGAAACAAACGCAAACAAATTGCAAGAAATCACACCCATAACAAAAGGGTTCCTTCCCAACACTTGTCTGCCCACAGCAAGTAATTCACATGATCCAAAAATACATCGGAGGAAAAGGAAATAGAACATTAGAATTGCATAACCCAAAGAGCGTGACTTATCAAAAGGCGAACCTTGAACTCGTAAGTATTTGAAACAACTAATTACCCAAAAATAGCCCGCAAAGCTCTGAATTTTTAACACCCAAAAACTTGATAGCGGCTCACCAAATTTTGATAAAGTGCCTTTGATTTAGAACACTCCAAAACATGAATAAAATGAGAAAGATATAATTGAGACTCAAAAAAAGAAGATGAGGAATACCCGTTAAGTAACTCCTGCCCTAGATCCGAACCCATGATCACTTGAGCTTCCTCTCTATGTTCTAACATATGCGGAGTCATCCAATCAATCTCTACAGTATGTAAAATCTGCATTCGAAATAAATAAGTACAGGAAAATCATATTAACAGGATTTCAATAAGAAAACAAAGGAATTAAGAAAGAACCTTAATGCTAGGAAAAGGCTTCGAAAGTTCCTACTCCATGGCATCCAGGGCTCATAAAAATTGGTATGGTGATCGATTTATGAGTTATTAAATACCTCGCCACATGAATACCAAGTTATAATTCAATTGCTCTTCACATCAAAGCAATCCTTCGAGTATGCTGCTGATAGATCATTGATTACACATGTTTTACCCCTATTCTTGAGCCGTTTGAGATGTTGATTCTCGTGTTTTAAGCCGATTTCACGCTAGGTTGTGCGTTTATGTCATATTTCAGGGCTTAGCATTGGCATCGAGGCGAAGAAACAAGTATTGGGTCGAAAGGAGCACGTTTGGGGTGAAGTGTGCTGGAGGAGCAAAATACCCGGCCATGAGTAGAAATACCCGGCCGGGTATTATTTGGCGATGATCGGGGATTTGATGCTACGGGCGTCTTTGAGAACCAGAAGGGGGCCCGGGCAAGAAGCAGAAATCCCTGGTCGGGGATTCTTGTCCATGACCGGGGATTTTCCCCTGTTACCCGACGGTGCGTTTCGAACATACTAGGTCGCCACACAAAATACCCGACCGGGTATACAGGCCGGGGATCGCGACATACAGCTTCTTGAGGGAAAAGAAGGCCAAAAGTGAGGGGTTCCGAGTTTTAGAGAAAGAAAGCGATTCCTAGAGAGAGAGAGAGAGAGAGAGAGAGAGACGAACCAGAGTTCCCAAGTGCCCTAGCTTGATCTTCATCACCATTGGAGCTCGGCTCACACTTGGAGAAGTGCCGATTGACGACCAGGAGCAGAAACCCATCCTTCATAGCATGATTTCTGCATATGAGCTTGCTTTTGCTTTTCTCTCCATGGAGTAACTTCCTCATTCATCTGGGTATGGAGAACCCTAGATTTGCATGTTAGGTTTGATTGTATGAACCCAAGTACAGATTATATGATTTGATTATATTCAATTGAGGTTTGATTTATTGAATGGCATGAATCCTGATCAAATTCCTGTTGTTTCTGCTTTAACCTAGAAAGAGAATATCTGCCTAGGTTGATAGAGCACCCTTAATTGAAGGTAGGGAATTGGCGAATTTAGTCAAGGAGCCAATTCACTATTTTGTACCTAATTTACTTCGGTAGTGGAGGTTTGGTTCGTTAGGGCCTCAATATGTTTACTCTGGTGGAGGTTAGTCGCCCGCTGGGGACTCAGATTGAGAGGGCCTGGAGACCTTTAGTCGAGACTTCAGACTGCTTAAGAACCTCCCGCAGTATAACTATCATTAAAACTGAACTTGGTAAATTGCAATCCGGCTTAACTGCAGTCTACGGGGAACCATATCCGGGTGACCTCTCTCGACTTGAAAACAACCTTCTTGCTTGCTTTGCTTGTTTGCTTGTTTGAACCTGCACTAAAGTTTCACCGCTAAATAATAAGAATTCACTGAGTAGTCATCACATCAAGGACCCTGGTTGACATTAAAACCCAACCCCACTATTCTATGCTTTAGGAAGTGGTTACACTTGACCATTTTCTAGAGTGACGGTTGGAGCGAGTCAGCTGCCCTCTTACTGGAGTTCAGACGACTGCCATCAACGTTCGAATCTCAAACACATAATGCATCACCGATATTTTCCCTAGACAGGAGAAAAAACACTGTCAAACAGAAAAGGATCCATCCACGAACAGAGAGATTAACCGTCAAAAACTAAAATAGAACCTACGAATCAGTGTGAACACCATTAGAACTCAACAATCTAATGGTCCCGCAGCCTTTCGCTGAGATTCGACGCTCAACTCAACTCTCAGAAAATCCTATCAACGAACCCAAAGCCAGAATATTGTCAAAAAACAGATGAAACAGATTCTTCTGAGGCAGAATGAGAGATACAAAACCATTCGGGAAAAAAATAGAAAACAAACTAACCCGGAAAGCCGGTGCTCTTCGGTGTCTGGTCAAACCGTCGAAGTTCCGAGAAGAGAGGGAGAGAGAAGAACGATGATCACCGACAGGTACTCGGCTATCCCCATCCCGTCAATCACCTCGATTTCGCCAGAAAAAATCAAAGGGCAAGAGAATCAGCATACTCTAGCTTGAGAATCGGCCCCGCACCATCTTCGGATCTCCGCTTCGTCAGAGATGGATCCTCACAACCGGCGGGTGATTGACGATTCCCTGGTCGCTGACAATTACCTCGCCTCCGAGTTAAGAGAGAGACCATCTCCAAATATTCTCTTCGTCGATGAAGGACACTCAAAATAGCGGGTTATCGGCGATTCCCTGGCGTCTCGCAACTACCTCGGCCAACTACCTCGGCTCGGAGAGAGAGAGAGAGAGAGAGAGAGAGAGAGAGAGAGAGAGAGAGAGAGGAGGGGAAGAGATGAGGTGAGAATGTATTGCTGTTGAGAGAGAAATCGAATTATGAGTAAGGAAAGGGAGAGAAGGAATGGTGTCTGGTTTCTTATTTGCCTCTAACCATCTCTCCTATTGACCGAAGGGTTGAATCACCTCCATCGGACACCGCGCCCGGTGGTGGGAAAATGGTCACTCAACTTCCTTGCAGGTCAGGTACAGACGGCAGCGGCCATCCCAAAGCAGAGAGCAAGAGAGGGAAGTGAGAAAAAGAGCGCCCATCATCACGTAGAAGACCCAACTCGTCCAAGGGCCGCTCAACTTCTATGTGAAGGATTGTAATATCCGAGAAACCCTTGGGACACGAAGACCTTCACTCTTTCCAAAACTTCGCCATCATCACCAATAATACCAGACAGTGGATTTGAGGCCGACGCGAAACTCGAAGACCCCAACTCAAGAAAAGGAAGGCCCAAAGGGACTGGAAATTGGCGGCGAAGCAACCAACAATTCCTTTGGTCAACATCAGGGCCCACGACAGACAGCCAACCAATCAAAAGAAGGTGAATAGTAATTTTGAGTCTGTATGAATAGTAAAACATGTCTTGCGCTACAGTGATCGGCGTTAGTGGAAATAATTTTTCTTAATTCCTCGATTTCCACAATCACCAAAAGCCACATGGCAATATAAACTTGTTCTCAAAATTCATGGAATCTGAGCTCAAGACCCGACGCCAAAATGCACTCATTGTTCGTTTCATCCACAATTTGCAACATGTGCAACAGGCTAGACTCTCTCTAGAATTGCTCCTCTGCAGGTGAAAGGAAAAATATGTGTTTATGTGTCTAGCTCATCATCACAAACTTCCACCGGTAATATTAGTTGATTCCTTTATTCCTCAACACATATCCCAAGACCCGATGTCAAGATCCCATGAACTATATGTCATAGGAAAAGCATCAACTTCGGCAGGGAATTGAATGCCCACACCAATTCCACAAAGGCTTATCCCAAAAAGAGACCACCTCCCTCCCTTGACAGCCATCCAATTTTATCGTGAAAGCCACATGATATCAAGTTTTGATTGAGTATTTCGCATCCTTCTTGGCCTCCATATAAGTTTATCCTGCATAGAACAACAAGGTAAAGGAATAGACATAATCATAGAACTAATCTCATCTGGAAATAGTGTTGCACCATGAATACATTCCAAAATCCCCTTCCTAGATGAACCGAGTCTACAACCGGCTCCCATGAACCTCGAATAGCACCAACACCGTTTGATTCCTCCAATTCCTTTCCTATGTCCCAAACCAATATGTCATGAAACATCATCATCAATCCTTTCCTATGTCCCAAACCAATATGCCAACACATACCATCTGTATGGAGTTCCCACCCATCAATATGCTTCAACATTCCCATGATGAATCTAAGCAAAGACTCGCCGATAGCAAGGAGCTATTATGATAATACATGCCTCTGCATACGAGCCAACAACGATTACGGGTCCTATATAATATACCATACAAATTTTCCCTAAGTGTTTGATTGAATGTCCCAAAATCTCATGATCCCATACCCCCTAATGCTTACTATGACACAACGAATCTCATCCCACCTAATGCACCCTCTACTTACTTATCACGTTGTAGAGAATGTCTAATTTACCTAGTCCAAAGACTAGGATTGTATTTCCCTAGGGTCTTTCACAACCACTTACGCTGGTGGCGAGGGAAGATTTCTATTGTCTAGAAAATGTCACTATAGAGGTTAATGTGCCTCCATGGTTAAGGTTTCCTTGGTTTTAAAAAATCTAAATTCAAAAAATATACAGAAAAGAAAAACTAATTACTAGCCAGTGGAGGAAACCAAGAGGATGAGGCATTACACAGGCAAGCTCCCCCTAGAGTTCCTTAGACAAGTAACGTCGATCTTGGTAACATATGAACTACTTAATCTTTGTTAGGTTTTCCCTACCAAATTGTGTGACAAATGTCAGTTCTAGTAGGCAACAATATGGACCTACGAATTTCTCCATTGAGGAACTCCATGCAGTCTCACCAATCATGGGCGAAAGTTCGTGTCCAGTGTAACCTACAACCGGATGTAGCATATAGTAATTATCCTCCCAATAATATATGCACGTTCTGTGTGAGAACATGTGGAATTGTAAAATGTAGCTTCCTGCACAACTCAAGGAAGGGCTCCATGGTCTTTTTCACCAGTCATGTTTTTGCCCTGCAATCGGCTTTCGGTGCTTCAGCTCCCTTCCTCTTCTATTTGGGTTATACATCTTACAATTTAATGTGTGTCTCTGCCTTGCGTTATTTAGGGGAAAATAGATCTATTGTATTCCATATAAGGTGTAGTGAATTGTAATCAATCTCTATCTGAAGTTCAAAATAAATTTTCTTATGGTATGAATATCGATGAATTATCAACTGATTGTGATCTCTCTAACAATTTACACACTACTTGATCTTACAAAACCACCACTATCCATTTTTCATTTTCAGAAATTGATGTACATAAGTCAGAGTTGACGAGAATTGATCAACCATTTACCAAATTAGCAAGAAGAAAACATGCTATTTATATAAGGCAAAAGCGTATATGCAAAATTTGTCAACAGTCCTACTGGTAACCCATTATTTACATGTTTGTTTTTCATTTATATGCTCTTAAATTGTGTGTTAGATGGTAGGATTGCTTATTTTAACTTTACAAGACTTCAAAATGCAATGAATAACTTAGAACGTAAGAGAAATAGATTGTTGAGGTCCATCAAACTTGCCAAAAATCATTAATCGTCTTCGGGTGATGCGATTTGGAGAATTTCCTGATTTATAAATATTTTAATTATTTTATTTTCCTTCATTTATTATTTTTTTTTGGAATTTTTATTAATGTATCTCTTATATTGGAGTTCTAATATTATTGCAGTTGTTGAAGTGTTTGATATGAGAACCTCATCATATAAATGGGAATATTGTGGAGCAATGGTATGGGAGGAAGAAAGTACTGAACCCATAAGAAATTCCAATGAACTAAAGTTTTCATTGTGTTGCAGATAAGGCAAAGTGAATCTCCCTCCTCAAAGGAAGGTTCCAGAGGTTTTTGAATATGCTATAGTAAGAAAACATTTCAAAGGGACGTCACTTTTGAAACATATCTGAGGCTAGCATGGAGTTTTTGCATTAACTTCTATTGAAGGTAAATAGTAATGATCAATAAATGATGAGCGAGCAGTATATATTTATTCGATTGAAGGACAAACATATCATCGAATCGATATCCTGATACCTACTGAAAGCAACATACCAAAATTTGCTCCACTTTACATCTATGACACTGACAATGAACTCCAAAACATGATGGATTTTTTCTCCACAAATCCAGCTTCAAATCATTTGCAACATTCAATTATTCAACAATTGCAGGAGTTGTTAGATTCAAATAATATCTTAGTAAAGATATTTCGGTCTGAAAGGGAGAGACTGAATGACAATACTAGAAAAGTTACCTGCAAAGAGCTCCAACTAAAACTTCATGAGCATGTAATTCTTTTAAATCTCATATTAAAATACCATGCATTGCTTTAACTACAATTGCAAATCTAATACACAATTTTGTGCACAGGGGATTGGTTATCAATGTAACTTTATTTGGTAGGATGGTTACCCAATTAAATGTCATACTTGCAAATGCGGGTAATCACCCTCTCATCCTGGTAATTACGTCAGTATATGTTGCTAAGTATTTGCAAATAACTAAATGACATTGAATTAAATAATCATCAAATTTATAGGTGAGAATACCTTATCCTCAACTAGAGAGACATTGCTGCTAGCGAATCCAAGAATTCGAGAAGTCATTAATTTAGTCCAAGATGAAATATACGACAATTTAATCTTCGTATTTGTATTAGCATCTAAGTTTGAATAAAGTGATGACGATGCACCAACTCCTACTATGAAAAGCACAGGAAAAGTTCAACAATCAATCCCTACCAAAATACTACATGAGCTCAGGCAATTAAAAATGAAAGAAGGATAAGAGGTAAGTAGCAGTTCCAATTTAACCCTTCATTAACTATCAAATACTAAAATTTTCTATAATATGCAACAACTTAATATGAAATTAAATATGGTTAATATAAAAACTCATGGAGATTGGTGCCTTAGTAAAAAAAATGGATTTATGTATTTCAATTGAGCTATTTCTTCTCCTCACACTTCGGGATTCCATAATTATCACTAAAAAGACAAAAAAAAATAGCAAAAATATCACACATTTATGAAATTTTCCTAAAATACCACCATTTCTCAAAAATCGCCTGGTGGGGGCTCGGTTTTCAATGTAAATCGCATGGTTGGGGGGCGGTTTTGGTAACCGCATGGGGTCGGGGCATTTTGGTCCAAAATCCCTGCACCACCCAGCGGTTTGGTAAAAAAAATATTCAATCTATTTTAAATTAGGTGGAAACTTCAAACGAACGTATCTTTGTGCTCGGGTATCCAATTGTAGCGAAATTTTTTTTATTCTGCATAACTTTTCGAGATCTTGCAAGCCGCAAACAGTTGTAGTTGGTACCCCGAACGAGCTTTTTTCCGATTTCTTCAAACTTTGGACGACCATAACTTTGTGCTCCGCACTTCAAACGTCATAAATTGTTTTTTGATTTCTCATAACATTTGAAGGACTACAACTTTTAGTAGCAAGGAATTTTCAAAACATGAATTATTTTTGGATATACGTGATTTTGGCAATAACATTACCTTCACTTTTCACAAATCCACGTACATTCCAAATTTATGACTATGATAAAAAATTTCGTCCTTAAAAATTTATGCAAAATAAAAAAAATTCATGACGTTCGAAGTACAGAGCACAAAGTTATGGTCGTCCAAAGTATGACGAAATCTGAAAAAAGCTCGTTCGGGTTAACAAAATCTCCCTCACCCATGCGGTTTATATCGAAAACCGCACTCCCACTCAGCACTTTTCGAGAAATGGTGGTATTTTCGAAAAGTTCGAAATTTGTGTTGTTTTTGGAATTGTTTTTTTTTTCTTTTTAGTGGTTTATTCGGAAAAAATCCTAAACTTCTTTGCACGTGGACATAAATTGAGGTGATGCTTGATATTGGCGTGGACTTCCCTTTGTCTATTTATATATGAAGGGATGTACAGTAATTGAATAATTTTGAGGTTTAGCAATGGATAGTACTGATACAAGCAGAGAACCAACGTACATATTACAATATTAAATTAAAAAGGGTTAACATAAATAGATTCCAGGAGATTGGTTTCATAAATTTAAAAATAAATATGCGTACAATATGTTGTCTTCACCACCTACAAAATTTACATGTACTTGACGGGTCGTTTGGATGCATCATTTTGGTTCCGCGGTATTTAGAATCAAAATGCTGCATTATTTTGCTATGTGGAATTTGATGTAATATTTCAGCTTTTTTTAATAAAAAATGTGGTATTTCAGTTTGGAATTTGCTAACCAAAAGTACATGTGAAAAAAAATGCTCTCTGGGGAGATCCTCTGGACTCTCTGGCGGGGCTTCTGCTATTGCTGGAAGAGCACCCTAATCCTGGCCGAAAAAAACACCAGCGACTGTGTGGAGGATTTCTTTCCCGGTTGGCAGTACTCAACGTGGTGGAGATGGGTAAGGACAGAAATCGGGCTTGGACGTGTTTCCTCAGCAACCCCTGAGGAGAAATCGAAAACGAAATCGATCTGCCGGGGTGCAAGTGTGGGGTTTGATTCCATTGAGGGTACTTGTGATCATTTGTGGGTGGAAAAGAACGGAGGTGCCTCGCTGAAAAGATGCAAAATAGAGAAGGAGGTCGGCTGGCGATTCACCACCTGTGCCGGAGGATTTGCACATGGATTCTGTAGGGCATGAGGTAGACTTGACTGATGCAGCGTATTGGGAGTCAAATAGTAAACATTATACGAGAAAAACTCGACCGCAACGCTAATCCGACCAAAACCGCCGTAGAGGAAGGGGGAGGATTGTGAATGGACTACAATCCTTTTCGGATTACGTGGGCAGGTGCAAAAGGTTAATGATTGGTGCTTCAATTCCTAGGTGGGATTTACCTGAAGGCGGTTCATCTTTCGGTACACCCCCAGTCGGTTTTAGGGGCGCCGGAAACAGAGCAGACGACGGTGCGACCGAGAATCCCGATGAGTCTTCTCGGGATGGGTGGTCGGCCGCCCCATGACATGGTGGACGATAGGGATGGAGGAATTTAGGATGAGGACGAAAGTGCTACTCTGTTTCTCTCTCCAATTGCACTACTCCAGGATCGCAGGAGATACATCTGACACGCCAAAACACAACACCAATCTGCGACCAAGTATAATCGCAGACCGGGAATGCAGTAACAGGCAAGTTCTATTATCAACCCGGGGTCTAGATCTACTGCTTACTCAGTGATTCTCTGTTATCTAGCCAACTAAAGTAAGTGATTGTTGTTTAAAAGCAAAAGCAGAAATAAAGCAGGAATTGATACGGTTTTCTCAAGCAGGAAAGAGTCACTCGGGAATGAGTCCCCCTAGCTCCTTAGTTAGGTTTCAATTGTATTTCCCTGGGTTGATTTACTGTTGATTAGACTGCGGAAGATCCGGCAGTAGCTTGGAATCTCTTAAGCTGACCAAGCCCTCTCAGTCTAACTACCCGGCAGACGACTAGTCTTCACCGGGATAGAAAGCTGAAGCAGTAAGAACAGAACTCCACTACTGGAATTGGATTCCAGTACAAAGCAGTAAACTGGCTAACTCTCGTATGGCCAATCTCCTACTATCGAATGATGAGACTCTAGCAACCTAATCAGATTCTATCTATCTCAGATTGCAGCAGGAATCAGGAAAAGTTGATCAGACTTCAATTGACTCAATAAACATGCATCATTCGATTAAAATCAAACAGTAATATCATCCCAAGTCATTACAATCAATCCCTAACACATAGAACTAGGGTTCTTCATCCCCAAGTGGGAGAGAGGTTCTACTCCATAGAGAGAGAAGAAAACAAGATACAAAGCAATCATACTCATAATTATGGGAAGAATCTGCTCTGGGATGATGATTTCCACTCCTATGACGATCTCCAAGCTTGATTTGATGAAACCCAGCTCCAAGATGGCTTCTAAGATGTGTTCTTCGTCCTTTCTCTCTCTAGGGCTCTGTTTTTGCTCAAAAAGTCCGATCCTCTCTCTTGCAGCCCGGAATTGGGTTAAAACCAGGAATTCCCGACTCACACGGGCAGGGCCACACGGCCGTGTGGCATACCCAGTTGCCCGTGTGAGTCAAAACGCTGCGTTCCAATTAGTTCGATCTTCTCTCTTCTCACACGGCCAGGGTCGCACGGCCGTGTGGGAATTCCATCTGCCCGTGTTTGCTCTCGGCGAAACTCGCACGGCCAGGCCACTTCTTCACACGGCCGTGTGAGTTGTCAGGGCAAGCCGTGTTTGCTCTCGCACAATCTCACACGGCCACAAATATGAGTTGCACGGCCGTGTGAGTTGTGGGTGTGCTTGTGTGGCCTCCTTTTTGACTTGCCTCGCGCCCGATCTTCGTCCAATCGACCCCAAACTCGCTCCCAAGCCTCCATTCATGTACTAGGACCTGAAATATCACAAACAAGCACAACCTAGTGTGAAATCGGCCTAAAACACGAGAAATCACATCTCAAACGGTGTAAGAACAGGGGTGAAAACATGTGTAATTAACGGTCTATCAAACTCCCCCACACTTAACCGTTTGCTTGTCCCCAAGCAAACCAAGTCAGACACAAGGTAAGCTTACATATTTCAATCAATCAACATTGGGGACAAGTCATAAAGGCACAGAACACGCGAATCGTACTGGTTTTCAAACATCAATACCTGACCAACTTCAATAGCAACCTGGACAACCACCACAAAGGACATTCGAGTGCAGCAAAATCGAGTAAAGGAAGAGTCTCCCTTCTGTTCACCAACTAACCTAGACTTGACTCAACCACTTACTCAAAACAGTCAACTCATGCATCTAACTCAAGACATCCGAATAGAGACCGAGCAATCTAGGTCCTCACCGGGGTACAAGAGTACATAGAATATGAAAATGAATCACTCACTCTCGACCAGTGGGGTCAGGACAATTTGATGCGAAAAATGCGCATGTTATTTCTCTCAATCCCTAACATCTCTTCACCATGATGGCAGCCTCTAAATGCTAGAGTTCACATATGGAGTGTCACCACTAACTAATCAGGAGGTCTTAGACACAGGTTCACATGACTGGCTAGGGTCTTGGACATGGGGAAAAGGCCTTTTAGGTGGTGGAAGTATTCATAGCACAAGGTTCCACATTTCCAAACCCAAACAATCACAGTCAAACAAACCGGTATTCCCTTTCTGCTATTCTGCAATACTCAACATCTCAAGAGCACAAGAGCGAAGGAGGCATAAACCCTCTCTGTGGAACCTTCTAAAAGATGCAAACAGGGTGATTTTTTTCATTTCAGACCAAAAGAAAGGATAACACACGGCTCAAAAGGGCTGACTAGGGGATATGACACATTAGGACAGTCAAATTTGGTCGTAGGTTAATCCTATGCCCCCATCATCTTAGCTAGTGACAACGTGAATGCTACACATCATGGAAGAGGGATCTATCGCACAAGAAAGAAACGAGCAGGTTCAAATCTCACATGGCTACCTATATGCTCTATCTCACATTTTGATACCCTGAACTAGATGCATAAGAGACTGTCAAGAACAAGTAATCAATCCAAGTCACAGTTGGTAAGCAAACAGTTGAAAAACTGAACCCCTACACAACTCTACTGCACGTCTTAGTCCTCATCATAGGTTGTCCTAGTCACAATCAAGCTGTCATGCATCAATCCGAAAACCATTCAATTCATCAATCAAAACACAGTGCCAATATGATCAAACAGCAGTACTTGGAGCCCTCAAATCTCGAGATTTGGACAGTGGACTAGGCTCCAAGCACACAAATATACATTCCAACCGATACAAAGCACCCCCCCACACTTAAGCACGACATTGCCCTCAATGGAGCAGAGGAATAGAGAAGGGGAACGATGTTACCGGATTGAATTGCTGGGGGACTGGAAGTGGACCAGTCAGCGAGAAACAAACGGGAAGATGGACAGTTCTGCACGAATCGAACACCAAGAACACACTAGCACACGTTGTGTTAGGGATAAGCGGTAGCCCAGACGGCTACAGCAAAAACAATCCACAAAAGAAAAAAAACAAAAACAAACGACACTAAGTTCAAGCTCCTCACACATGGAGCAAACACACACAAGTCTAAAACGAAAAACAAAACACACTGAGATGGGCAACGAGTACAGCCTACTCGTCGCCGAGGTTGTCCAGATCGAAGACGATGTCGTTCATGAAGGCGTCACCACCATCAGCACCATCATCACCATCTGCTGGGGGAAGTGGAAGTGGAGAGTCCTCCCAGGGAGTCCTCTAGACTGGCTGCTCGCCCGGTAGCAGCTGGAGCAGATGCCCCTGTACCTCCTGCATGCGCCGAGAGCGGCGCCTCTCCCGCTCGATGTGTGCGAGAGTCACTCCCTGCTGGGTCTGGAGCTGGTCCAATCTCTCATCGTAAGCAGCCATCCTCTGGTGGTACTCAGCCTGGTGAGCCGCGTACTGCTGTTGGAACTGCATCTGATGGTCGATGATCTCCTGGTTCTGGAGACGCAGCTGCTCGAACTGGGAGGTGAAGTAATCCTGCCCCGGGAAACTGGAACTGCCACCCCCGTACTCGAAGGTGGTGGGGCGGGCGGCAGCAGTGTCATCCACGTCCTCGGGCTGGACCTCCTCATCAGCTGCACCCTCTGGAACCTCCTGCTGGACCGCCTCTGGAATCTGAGGTTGAGGAAACCCCTCGATCCACATGACACCTCGCTCTTCTCGAAGCAGGAGCATTTTGGTGAGCGTAGCCCGGCCAAAGGGAGTGGTCTCTCCCTGCTCTGTGCACCCCTGCAGGGATATCTGGAAGTACTCTGCCAGGCAGGTGATGAGGGGAGTGCAGTGGAGTTTCTTCAGCTCAGAAGCACTCTTCTCGAAGGTCCTCGCCACCACCGAGCCCAAGTGTAGGGGATGATCCCTCTGGCGCATGGACTGGATGAAGTACAGGGATCTCTTGGTGATGGCGCTGGCACTGTCTGAGGCGGGGGTGTAAGACTTGGCCAGCATGTGATGGAGGAGACGGTTTTCAAGCTGCAATGTGCTGGCCTTCGTCTTCCCCGCCTTGAAGGGAAGCTGCCGTGGCCGAGCGAGGCTGAAGTACAGCCTCCCAAAGTCCACCCCTGCTGGCTCGGCGATCTCGGTGATGAAGGTCCTGTCATTGACCAGGTTGAGGCCGAGGGCGTCCGCCAGCTCGTCGTAACTCATGGAGCGTGGTTCACCGCCGAGTCGGAACTGGATTGCAGCTTCGTCCTTCCAATCGGCCGTGGCTGCGTGCTTGAAGGTAGTGTAGAACTCAAGCACGAGCTCATGGTAAACCGTCGCGCGAATGCTGAGCAGGCGACGCCAGTATTTGTTGGTGACAATGGGGGAGAGGTGCTCGTAGCAGTTCAGCTTCTCCAATTCGCGCTTCGACCAGTAATGATGCTGCCCAAACTTGCAGGCCAGGACGTTCTGAAAACGATCCCGGTGGGCCCCCCTTCTCAAATCTTGAACATACTGATGCCGGAGGTTGGGCTTCGACATGGTCCTGCAAAAGAACAGCCCAAAGTGGAACCAAAACAGCCAAGGAAAATGTTAATCACACCCCCACACTTAAGAACAGAAAACAGCCTAACCATGGTTTCATCCATAGTTCGGGGGTCAGAAACTCTATAAATCAAGCATAATCTGAGTGGGGGTGCACGTTCACGCTAAAGTAGGCAACTTAAGGTTCACATCCATACCAAATACACCCTCAAAGCACATCATTAAGGGCCCCAACCGACCCCCACAAAATGGTACGAAAAACAGGCATTTCATCGAACACCTTGTGTGCACTATTAAGGTAAGCATGAAATTGGCACAATTCTTGCACGCAAGGGCTCAAACAATCAAGAGGGACTTTGCCCAACACAATTCAAACACACTCCATGCATTCCCCTCAATCAATTGCACAAAAATCACAAGATTCAATGAGGTTCTCTAAACATGCACCCTAACACCCAATTCTCCACAATTAACATAGTTAAGGGCAAAATCAAACCTGGAGACTCAAGTAGAGGTGTAGGGGATGATGAGGGGAAGGCGATGGAAGCGACGCAAAGCCGAAAAAGTGCCCGAAAGTGCTCGTCGGAGCCTCGCCGGAGTCTCGCCGGAAGTCGCCTCCGGCGACAAAAACGTCGGCCAAATCTCCCCAAAATGGAGGGATAAGCCGCTTTTAGTGTAGGAAGGGTGGGTTTGTTGTTGGTTTGGTGGAAAAATGACAAAAATGGCCGATAAAATTGAAAAGGGGGGTTTGTCGCGGTTTTACGGCGAGGATCAGAGGATTCCAGCGAGGATTTTGAAATTTCTGACGACCCGCCCGTGCTGGCCGAATATAGAGGCCGTGTCTCGGCCACACGGCCTGGCTCGCACGGCCGTGTCAAGAGCACTTTTGCCCTTGTCGGCCAACACGGGCTGGCCGAGAAATTTCACTTGGCCGTGCCAAAATATGCGAGAGCAAACACGGCCAGGGAAAATTCCCACAGGGCCGTGCCAACATCTCATCTGGCCGTGTGGAATTCTGCGAGAGCTCACACGGCCAAAATTATTTTCCACACGACCGTGTGACATTCAGGGCTGGCCGTGTGAGCTGCCAGAACTCCGAAAATGACCTGTTTTCACTCCAGAACGACATACAACTCGTAAACAACCCCTCAAGACTCAAAAAACACAAAAAATCAAAACGAAAAAGGTAAGAAAATGCAAACCTAGGTGGGGTTGCCTCCCCACAAGCGCTTCTTTACCGTCTTTTAGCTGGACGCCAGTCGGTGGATGCTCAGTGAGGTGAAGGAGCAGGTGCCTTCAAGAGCGGATCCACCTCGCTCTTGATGTACAGCTTCAAATGGTGGCCATGCACACGCCGAATGTGGCCACCAGCATTTGCCAACTCAACTTGGCCATCCGGCAGGGTGCAAGCGAGTGAATACTCGGATGGCCAAGGTGGGGGCGGGACCAGCTCATAGTGGTCTCCGGCTTTCTTTCGAGCAGGCTTAGCTGCCTGCTGTTTCGGCCGCCACTCCTCCCTGATTTGTTCCTTCGATGATGGAGTGGACGGGAGTGGCGGCGAAAGTATGGGAGGCGGATCTTGCAAAATAGGCAATACAGAAGGATACACGACAGACTCGTGCTCCTGGTGAGATACAGCATGCAGAGGTGACGAAGCAGGGCGAGTATTAGAAATTGAAAAACGCTATTCGCTCCTCACCATCCCTCAAAACTAAGGTCCCATTATGCACATCTATGAGGGCCTTGGCGGTGGCCAGGAAAGGCCTTCCTAGTATCAATGGCACATTCACATCCTCATTTATGTCCAAAATCATAAAATCAATAGGATAATTGAATTTGCCAACCTTAACCAGAAGGTCTTCCACTATGCCCCTAGGATGCACTATAGATCGGTCTGCTAATTGAAGGCTCATCCTAGTAGTACGGGGTTCACCTAGGCCTAGTTTCTTAAACAGTTTATATGGCATAACATTAATACTAGCACCTAAATCCGCCAAGGACCTCTCTACATGCAAATTTTCTATAGAGCACGGGATAGTAAAACTACCTGGGTCCTTCTGTTTCTGCGGTAGCTTGTTCTGCAGTATGGCCGAGCACTCCTCACTGAGCTCCACA